CATCCCAGAGCTTCTGATTCAGCTGGGCCCAGGTGGGGCTACGGTTTTCAAAGACCTCGGGTGGTCCTGATTTGTAGCCAGGTGGAAGAAGCAGAGGCTAACTCTTAGCATGCTCTCCTTTCACCAGTGGTTCCAGCTTTTGTACATCCCAGCACACCTGGAAGGAGACTCTCCTTAGTCACAGTGGCTTTCTACCAGGATTGTGCTTGGTAGGGTGAGGGAGAGGGTAGGACGAATAACTGGGTGGTGGAGGTGGCTCAGAATTGCTAGCGGAGAGTGTTGTTTGGAAAGCCCCCCTCTTCCCTACTTCTGGCAAGTCTCACAGATTCCCCACTGAGAATCCTGTCCTGTCCTTGGCCCCAGACTGGCTTTCGTGGTGGGGCCTCACGGGAGCACACGCCTGTCTTAAGAGTGTTAAATTCACATCTTAACAATCACCCTGGGCCAAATAGCCCATGAAAATGCCCTAGACAGGTCCCTCTTGTGGGCCTCTTGGGAAGAGCCCTTTCCTTTATTGTCATTAAGTGAGCATCTACTAAGGTCTCAGACTGTGGTGTGTGGACCCAGACAGATGTGGTAGTGGAAGAGAATGGGGCTTGTAGATGGAGACTGTCTGACACTCCTCAAGGAGGAGCTGACGTCAGAGCTCCCCAGCCAGGGCGCTGGGATACCGACTGCTCCCTCCGGACTCTCTCTCACAGCTTCTACCTCTTCCACCCTCTGGCTTACGGGATGGTGGGTCCTCTAGCCCAGGACCCCCAAAGTCCGATGGCAGGACTGAGGTGGCTGGAATCATGGGACTTTTGAAGCCACTGCAAGGACTCCAGCCTACGTCCAGGAACAGCCCAGGGACAGCCAGCTGTGGAGGAAGCCGTCTGGGAACCTCAAGAATTCTGCTGCCTGTCAGACCAGGCTCCGGGAGTGACCCCAGAGTTTAACCCAACACTAGAGAGCCACAGCTTTGTCTGCTACACCTACAGAGAGGACAGTATCTCTCAGGCCCATTTCCCCAAGTGTACAACACAGAGGATGAGTGTGCATGGGTGCGTGTGTGAGTGTGTGCATGTGAGGTGCATTGTCCGTGTCTCTGTGGAATACAGACTGTGTAACTGTGGATAGCTGAGTGTCATAAACACTAAGAAATAGTCCAGGGCTGTAGTAATATCTTCTGGTATTTTTTTCCACATTGTATTTGGTTTGGTTTGGGTTTGTAAGATCTATCAAAAATTCTCTGACCTCTAAGAGGTCCTCAAGTGCCAACCTCACTGTGGGCCCTCAGCAGAGGCAAAGCAGATGGGACCACTGAAGCTATGCTGCCCTCCCTCCCACAAGCGGATCCAGTTACAGAGGAAAGCAAGGTGCCCTGAGCTGGGGGCCCAGCTCCGCACTGCTTCCCTGAGTGGCTGCTGCTGCAAGTGACTTTGGTGGCCACAGGTGGCTGGACTTCTTGCCTGCAATATGAACAGAACACGGCTCTAGGCAGTGAGCAGCCAAGAACTCGCCCGCCCTTGGTCAGCCTGCCTCAGCCCTTGGTTCCTTGTTCTCTGGGAATGTCACACTGTGAGACTGGGTGGAGGAACAGCGTCCTGTCCTTGGTCAGCCTGCCTCAGCCCCTGGTTCCTTGTTCTCTGGGAATGTCACACTGTGAGACTGGGTGGAGGAACAGCGTCCTGTCCTTGGTCAGCCTGCCTCAGCCCCTGGTTCCTTGTTCTCTGGGAATGTCACACTGTGAGACTGGGTGGAGGAACAGCGTCCTGTCCTTGGCTGCTCTGTGTTCCCAGTTCCTGGATGCCAGAGACTGTTTCTCTCAGTCCATCCCTGTCCCTCTGCATCTGGCCCGGCTATGAGGGCTGGGTCAGGTGTGTTCTCCTGATTGCTGGAAGAGCCTTTGGGGACCTTTCCTAACGGCTGAGGTAGATGAGAGAGCAGGGAATCTGTGTGGTGCTGGGGTGTGGGGTGTTCTGGCCTGTCTGGACAAATGTTCCTGTCACCTGCTGAGCTTCCTCAGTTTTCGCTCCTCCAGTCCTCCCCTGCTCACCCCCCCCCTTCACTCCCTTGGCATTTCCCTTTCTCTGTCACTGTTTCACCCATCTCTTTTCTCCAAAGACCCAGAGTACCTAGACACGCATGACAGCTTCTACCCTCTGCCACTCTGAGGCTCACACAAGCAGCTCAGAGCTGTTCCTTTCTCTTTCTCCCCAAAAGGGTTTAAGAAAACCCTTCAGTCAGAACCAAACTAACCCAAAGCCAGCTCTTCAGCCTGCCTGCTTCCTCTTGGTGCATGACAAAATATTTTGTCTCAGAGGACTTTGATGCTTCATGATTTAATGACCAATCTCTGCCATACTCCATTTTCCCCCCTCTGTATCTCCCACCAACTCTGACAGGGTCAGAGCTCTTTAAAGCATCTTCGGCAGGCGGTTGCCACGGAGACTGGAAATTGGTCCCAGGGACAGACTGTGCTACCTACTGGGTGGTGGGGAGGGAAGCTTCTGGCCGTGCTTGGCTGTTCAGACCAGCCATCATTAATGTTAATAGAGGAAATGCAGCAATGTCAAAAGCAAGGCAGGTTGGTTAATTAGATCTGGGGCCTGATGACCTCCCTCTCCCAGGGCTCTACAGCCCTTTTGACTTCCCCCAGCAGGAAGCGCTGCCCCAGTGCTGAATCTGGGCGGCTCACTTAATTGCATTTCTAGCAGGGAGGGAGAGAGGGATGGAGAAGCTCTGCTCCACCTTCCAGCCCACTGCTGTCCCTCCCTCCTCCCCACAGGCTGAGTTGGTTTCTTCTGTGCCCCTTGGGACAGTGTCCAGGTGGCTCTCCCTGCAGGTAGAATGCAGGAGTCTGTGCTTGGCTCTTAGCAAAGAAGGTGGTCCACAGTGACACCCAGGAGGTGGCTGGTTTTCTCTTGTGCCTTCTTATTTGCCAGTAGAAACTTGTTGGCAGGGATGAGCTCTGAGGGGGCAGCCACTCTGAGTGAGGGCGAGGAAGGAGAAGGCTTGGCCAGCTTCCTACCCATCCTTCCCTCCTAATTGGCCACCTGGGGACAAAAGCTTCCTTGGTCTCTGCCACTGCTTTCTAGGGATGAAAGAATTCTCTGCCCACTCCCTCTTCTTCCATGCCCAAACTGGCAGACACTTCTCTGGGGACAAGGCCACTTGATGCAGCTTCAGGTGCTCAGGTTCAGCTGCTGAGGATAGAGTTCAGGGTGCTGCTCTGAATACGGGCTCTAGTTCCAGGACTTGGCAGGAACGTGACATGTCCTACAAACTGCTGGTGGAGGAGGAAGACATTTGTCAGCCAGCCCAACCTCCAGCCAGCTTCTTGACCACATTTTATTTAACAGGAAAAAAAAAAAAAAAAGGTTTCCAGAGATAATTGGAGGCCATTTAGTTTTATAATAAATAGTGCTTGTTTTGAATACCATGTTCTTGTTGTACTTAATTGAATCTGACTTGCCCGCTGGCTCCCAGAAAGGCCTCCTTAAAAGAAGAAAAGAATGTTTTAAGTTCAAGAATGTTTGAAGTTCAAGAACCATTCATTGTGTCTCATGTCTGAGGTGGCTCCAATTCCAGGAGAGGCCCTGGGCTGGCAGATGAGTCTGATTATCCCAGGGGGTATTGGGGCCTTTCCCATGTACACGGTTACTGGAGTAATTTTGGTTGTCATTTCAGTTTGTTTAAACTTATTCCAAAATAAGTAGGAAGCCAGACCTCTTATTTTTCTTCTTTTAACCTGCCCATACAGTATGGAAAGGAGTAGGAGAGAAGGGGTAACAATTGTCCACTTCTGGGACAGCCAAGTGGCCCAGCATTGTAGCAACTTGCCATTCTGCTAAACAGTGGCCTCCATGGTGACAGGGGGCCTCTGTTATCAGGACTGCTGTTAAGGACCTGGGGGAGGTAAGAGCTGACTGGAGTGCTGGGCAGAGGTGGGGAAGGAGGGCAGTAGCGCTGCGCTGGGAACTTGGGCTGCCCCACCGCCAGCTTAGGTGCAAGGGCAGCTGCAGTGGGGGAGGAGCAGGGTGTGTGGGTGTCCTGGAAATGAAAAATGCCTAGGATAGGCTGGTTAGAAAAGGACCAAATAACTCCTTGAATGGCACAGCTTAATTTACAAAGTCTTGACACATCTGTGACATTTGATCCTCATAAAGGCCCAGAGAAGTCAGTGATGTATTTTATCCCCATTCTACCCATGAGAGATTTAATTACTTGCCTAAGGTCCCATAATTAGTAAATAGTAGAGCCAGGACTCAGAGCCAAGTTGGGCTTTTTCTGCGTCTTTAGCCTGGTCCTGGGACTAGAAGCGCCTTCCCAGAACAACCTGGCCCGAAACTGAGCTCCGGGCATCCCGATCCAGCGTGTTCCTTTGCACGTTCAGCTTAATATGTCAGCAGCGTGTCTGGAGCTCGGTTTGTCTTGGCTCCCCCAGCTGTGCTGGACCAGTGGTGGCAGATGTTCAACAACAGGTTTTCTGGAAGGAAAAAAAAAGCCCTGATTTACAGCGTTTGCTAATTTCCATGGTGTAAATACTCCCACCATGGCCTATTTCAAGCTACCAACTTGATGTCACTGAGCAAGAAGTTGGACAGAAATGCATACAGTTGGCTCTCGCGTATATGAGAGCTGGCTCTAGCACAACACTGACCCAGACCCAGTGTCAGGGGCACAGGTCACAGTCACAGCGCATTACATGAGGGAGGCATGGAGCCTAGAGGATGGGCCTGAGAGACCTGAGGTCAAATCCTGGTCCCGCCTCTTATTAATTATGTGATCTGCACCTAGTCAGTTAGCCTCTTTGCCTCCATTTCCTCAACTATAAAACAAAGGGATGATGGCACCTGCTCATAGGGTTACTGAGAGGATGAAAAGAATCATGTAAAGTGCCTTGAACAGTGTCTGGACGTGAGTGTTCTATCAATGCTAGCTCTTTTGTAAATTTTTTAAATTATTTTTATTTATTTATAGACAGGTCTTGCTGCCTTGCTCAGGTTGGCCTCAAACTCCTGAGCTCTAGTGATCTACCCGCCTCAGCCTCCCAAGTAGCTGGGACTACAGATGCACTACTGTGCCCGGCAATAAGTGCTCTTTATTAATATTATTATTAATGATAAACTGACCTCAATGATAGCACTGGCTCTAGGATAGTACTTGAACTTTCTTCTAGATTATAATCTCCTGTCCAAGTTCCAGAGAGGACAGCATCCTGTAACTCTCCCCAGACTCTCAGATTGTGGATTCAGACACTGGCCTGCTAGTTGGAATACACCATGCTGGCTGTAGTAGCCCAGCCAGACCCTCAGGCCTTTCCTCAAGGGGAGCAGAGATTAGAGTGCACTCAGCCCTCTCCTCCTGCCTTCGGCCCTATGAAGGCAGAAAGTGAAGCAGTGGGTTTGAGTGCTGACTCCATCACTTACTAGCTAGGGCCATTAACTCCCACTAACTCATTAGACCCCAGACCCTGTCCAAAGGAGAAAGGAAGCGAGAAGCATCCTGAATGTGGACTGTCGGCAGGAAACACAACGGCGGTGGAGTGGGGAGGAAGCCTTAGACTAGCCAGAGCACTGGGCATTCGGGCAGTGAAAGGTGAAGGTAGCTAGAGATGCATGTGGCCTTTCCCTGTGACCTGCCACACCTGGCTGTGGGGCCATGAGATCCCAAGATAGAAATTTAGTCCCTTGTCCCTTCAGCCCCCATCCCTTTGTGTTCTTGCTTGGAGACCTCCCAGGCTCTTTAGGACACAGGCTTTCCAGCCTTGCTTTCCTACTCCAATCCAGAGATACATGGAGAGATGGGGAAGAGCAGAATAGGGTGTAACCCAAACTCCTGAGCCCTTGGAAGGGGGAGGACAGCTAGATGGTTTCATGGGCTTGGCTGGGAGCAGGAAAGCGTTCTGCCGAAGCCCTCAGTCCTGATTCAGGGCCAGAAGAAGTTTTAAAGGCCAGGACTCACTCACTCAGCACTTCAGCTGGGCTTGGACTCACAGGTTGTTCATAACCAATGGCCCAAGAACACCCACAGGTAGGCCATCTGGCTGCTAACCCGACCTGGGGTTAGGGAGTAGGGGGGTGGGGGAGGAAGGCGACAGCAGTCAGGCATGATTTGAGCAGAGACTACATGCCAAGGGCATAGCAAACTCAAATGCTTCCAGGCAATGGTTGGGTGGCCTCGTGGAGAGGTGGCTTAGGCAGTGCCTACCCAAGGCAACCAAATCCAACACAGGGCCCTCGGGGCTGGGGACGAGAAACCAGGGCCCAGACAGACTCTAAGATTTCTGTTCAGCTCTGAAGTCAGAGCATTTCCCAGGCCACCAGGTCGTCCTTGACCGGAGTCAGCTGTGGAAGGGGCGCCCGCCTAGCTGCACGGGAGGGAGGAGGGCGGGGGCCGCGACTGCTTTAAAGCGCCCCAGCGGGCGGCGCGGGGCGGGGCGGCTCTCGGAGCCGCGGGGCGCTGGGGCAGCGGCCAAGCTGGGTCCCCGGAAGTGCCCCCGGGGCCCGCACCGCGGGGGCGCCGCCACCTACGCGGGCTGCGCGCATCTTTTCTCAGCTACGGCCAAGGAAGGAGCGGCTGCTGGACCCCGCCTGGCCGAGGCACCGGGGCCGTAGGGTGTGTGGAGTGGCCCGCGTCGCCGCGGGGATGGCACAGCACGTGCGGTGACGGCGCCCGCGCCCCGAGGGTCCCAGCCTCGCGCCCGGCGTCCCCGGGAGAGGATGGAGCGCCCGGAGCCGGAGCTGATCCGGCAGAGCTGGCGGGCAGTGAGCCGCAGCCCGCTGGAGCACGGCACCGTCCTGTTCGCCAGGTGAGGGCTGCCCGGCCCGGGGTGCGGCTGGAGGGGTGCCTCGCTGGGAAGGGTTGGAGGCGGCTGGACCGGCGACGGAGAAGAGGAAACTGGCCCGCGGCCGTGGCGCTGGGGTGCCTGCCAGATGTGCGCCAGAGGAGCGGGCGCGGCGACGGGTGGCGCAACCCCGTCTGCCCTCTGGCCCGGGCGCATCTCTGCGCCGGCGCTGCACAGCCCGCTCCCGGCTGGGCTCGCTGGGGCGGGCGGGGTCCTCTCGGGAGGATCTCCTTACATTTGGGCGGGCCGACGCCCGTCCCCGCGCTGAGCCCCCTCCCAGGCTCTGTGCCTCCCGAGCGTTCCTTGGGTAGTGATTGCAGGGGTGCCCGACGCTGCTGTGCGGGGACTTGGGTGCCCCAAGGGCCGGTGTGGGGAAGGTGCGCTGGGCGATCTCCCGCGCCTGCGTGAGAACGCCCGGTCCGGGCCCAGGTGTGCGCACTCCCAGCGACCAACGACCAACGCAAGGACAAACCTTTGCAAGGAAAGGACCAGGTTAGGACCAGAGAACTGCCAGGGAGAGAGGTAAGAGGGGGCACAAGCCCCACGGGGAAAGGGGAGTCCATCTGCAGCCTCAGCTTGGGGGTCTCTCAGTAACCCCTTTGCTGTCACCAGCAGGGCAAAACTCCCTTCACCGTGGCTGTCCCCAGCCTCGGCACCCTAAGCCAGCGCAGAACTTCTGACCAGGCTTTTGCCAAACCTTCCCCGAGACAAAAGAGGAATAAATTCAGAGTTGCACAAAACCCGAACAAGCCCTCCCAAAAGTGGCTGCACACGCCTGTGTGTGCCTCCCGGCCCTCCCCAAGCTCACTTTTTTCTCAGGCCCCTACTGTAGCTGCACTGCTTCCAAGCTGTGTGACCTTTGACAGGTTACTCAGCCTCTCTGGGCTTCTGTTTCCTCCTCTGTAAAATCAGGTTAAACTGCTTTGGACTGTGAGGAATATACAATTACAAGTTAACCACTCGAGAGTACTCGGTGCTCAGCAAGCCTAAGGAGCATGTTCTCGGTGTTAATACCATCACAGCTCGGGGCTCCCTAGGACACGATGAGACTGGGATGTTCCGACCCAAGAGCAGGAGGGAGAGAGTCCGAAGGAAGGGCTCTCCTCTCCCCACAATGTGACTCCAGGTTTCCTGTCTGAGGCCTCTTCCTGTCCCCGGCCACAGCCCTCGCCTGTTGACGAGGGTGGCTCTGCGCAGGCTGGATGCGCTGCCCTGTCCAGAAGCCTGTCGGAGCCAGGGAAGGGGCAAGGAAGGAAGGGCACTGGCAGAGCCGCCCAAGGAGCAGGGCCCGGCTGGGGCGTCTGCTGTGGCTGCTGACTGCAGGTCAGGCTGGCCGGGTCCCCGGGGCTGACACTGGGCCTCACCCCCACAGGCTGTTTGACCTGGAGCCTGACCTGCTGCCCCTCTTCCAGTACAACTGCCGCCAGTTCTCCAGCCCCGAGGACTGTCTCTCCTCCCCCGAGTTCCTGGACCACATCAGGAAGGTGAGGCGGGGGTGGAGCCGCCGTGGCCTCTGGGATGCACCTTCCCGGCAGAGCGTGGGGGCTTGGGACTGGGAAAATCGCTTCCTGCCCCAGGCCTGGGCTTGCTCCCCTCCGTCTGCTCCTGCACACAGGGGCCCCTGTTCTTTCCCTCTGGGCTGGGCCTGGTCTGGGACATCAGAGTCAGCCTCCTTCCCCACCCTGCTCTCAGCCACGCGGTCCCTGCCTCCGTCATTGCCCTCAGCCTTGTCCCCTGACAGCTTCCATAGGTTGTGTTGGTGCTGACCCTAGCCACTGAGGGCCTTTGGGGGCCATCTGTGTAGAAAACCCAGGCTGGAGTTTTCTTGGAGGCTCACAGAGCCTCAGTTTCCCCTCTTCCTGTCACTTTTCGGCCTTCTAGCTGAGATCAAGTGTAGTTTCCCCTTGTCCCAGGCAGGCACCACTACCCAGCAGGTGTCTTTAGGGCTTGGAGACCCACAGAGAAGAGGGGCTTCCTTCGTGGTTGGAACGTTAGTAGTTAGGCTACCGCATGTTGAACGCCCACCATATGTGGACACAGGCTGCTTTTGACCCCTGATCACGAAACACTGAGGATCCTGCTGGCTTTTCTTGCCTCTGAGGATCTTTTGGGGAGCCCCGGGTTCTGGGCTGTGGTTGTGAGCAGGTGGGGTTGCACGGGCCTCTCTGTTTCACTGCTGCCTTGGCCTTGGCAGGTGATGCTCGTGATTGACGCTGCGGTGACCAACGTGGAGGACCTGTCCTCACTGGAGGAGTACCTTGCCAGCTTGGGCAGAAAGCACCGGGCAGTGGGTGTGAAGCTCAGCTCCTTCTCGGTGGGTAAAGGGGCTCTTCCTCTCTCCAGAGCTCCTGACCTGGGGCCACCATTCTCTCCCAGTCCTCCCTTATCCACCTGTCCTCTCTCCCCATTCCCATACCCTCAGATCAGGGTTGGGGGCCTGCATCTGTTGCTTACCTGCTGTGTGACTCTGGTACTGACTTGACCTCTCTGAGCCTTCAGGTTCTCTTCTCTGATATGGCTTCTTTTGTTGTTGTTGTTGAGACAGGGTGTGCCTCTGTCACCCAGGTTGGAGTACAGTGGTGTGATCATAGCTCGCTGTAACCTTGAACTCATGAGCTCGAGTGATCCTCATGCCTCACCTCCCAAGTAGCTGGGACTACAGGCATAAGCCACCATGCCTAATTTAAAAAAAAATTTTGGGGCGGGGCGTGGTGGCTCACCCCTGTAATCCTAGCACTCTGGGAGGCTGAGGCGTGTGGATTGCTCAAGGTCAGGAGTTTGAGACCAGCCTGAGTAAGAGCAAGACCCCATCTCTACTATAAATAGAAAGAAATTAATTGGCCAACTTATATATATATATATGTAGGAAAAAAAATTAGCTGGGCATGGTGGCGCATGCCTGTAGTCTCAGCTACTCAGGAGGCTGAGGCAGTAGGATCACTTGAGCCCAGGAGTTTGAGGTTGCTGTGAGCCAAGCTGATGCCACGGTACTCACTCTAGCCTGGGCAACAAATGAGACTCTATCTAAAAAAAAAAAAAAATTGGGGTGGGTTGGGGTGGGGGAAAAATATTTTTGTGTAGAAATGGGGTCTCACTATATTGCCCAGGCTAGTCTCAAACTCTTGGCCTCAAGCAATCCTTCTGCCTCGGCCTCTAAAAGTTATGGGATCATAGGTGTAAGCCACCATGCCCAGCATGATATGGCTTCTTGTAAAACCATAAACATTAAGGAGCCTTTGAGATTAGCTGGTCTGATCAGTTTTCTATTGCTGTGTATCAAATCACCCCAAAACATACTGTCTTAAAACCCTGATTTCTGATTTCTCGTGACTGGGCTCAGCTGGAAGTTCTTCTGCTCTCCAAGATGTAGGTGCAGTCACTTGTGTGTTGTGTTCAGCTGGGAGCTCAACTGGGGCTGGAATGTTCCAGATGGCCAGTCAGCCTTTGAGCTCTCCCTCCCTGTGGCCTCGTATCATTCAGTAGTCAAGCTGAGCTTCTTTAGAGAGTGGTAGCTGAGTTTCAAGAGGGAGTATTCCAAGAGGACATGCTCCAGTGTGCAAGTACTTACAAAGCCTCTGTTGCATCACTCTTGCTAATGTCCCCTTGGCCAAAGCCAGACACATGGATGAGGCCACTGTCAATGTGGGAGGACCCTCCTCAAGGTGGACCATCAACTGACAGTCTACCACACGGTCCAATCACCTTGCTAGATGGAAGCACCATGAGGAAGGGGCCATGTTGGTCTTGTCCCCCTCTCCATCCCTAGCAATAGCACAGAGCCTGGTTTTCAGTGGATATTCAGTAAACATTTGTGGAATTAATACAACTTATTTTATTATGATTAATAATAACAAATGAGACCCATTATGGTTGAAGCTCACTGTATACAGATGCTACACTAAGAGCTTCTTCTGGATTATCCCATTTAATCATCCCAACAAGCCCATAGGTTAGAACTTTTACCTTCTCTGTTTTGTAACTGAGGCTCAGAGAGTGTACACAACTTGCTCAAGGTCACCCAGCTCATGAGTGGTGGAGTCAGAATCTGAGCTTGGGTCTTCCTGGCTCCAGAGCCTAGGCTCTTAACCCCATGACTGCCACCTTGCAGATGAGGAGACTGAAGTCTGGTTGCAATGACTTGGTTTGCTCTGACCTTGGAGGCCAGTGCCTTCACCCCACTCACTGGGTGGCTGCAAGACTAGGAATGGGGTGAAATGCTTTGTTCACTATACAGCCTCACATTTAAGGGGGAAAGTGTGCACAATGTGATACCCAAGGATTTGGGCAGGACCCTGCTCAGAAGGCATGGACTCTGTGCAGGAGACAAGAAAGGCCCAGGAGCCCTTACCAGCCCAGGCCTCAGTTTTCTCACCTGTGAGATGGAACCATGCCTTCCTGCCCTGGGGAATGACAAGGTCCCCTTGCCTCTGCAGACGGTGGGCGAGTCCCTGCTCTACATGCTGGAGAAGTGTCTGGGCCCCGCCTTCACCCCAGCCACGAGGGCCGCTTGGAGCCAGCTCTACGGAGCCGTGGTGCAGGCCATGAGTCGAGGCTGGGATGGCCAGTGAGGGGCGACCCCTGCCCGGCGGCCCCTGTCTTGTCTGTGTCCGTGGTTTTCCAGGCTCCCCCAGGCCTCCCTGCCTCTCCCTCCAACCCCCCCTCGTACTAGAGATGGGGTGGGACAGGGCTGTGTCTCACCCCTCCCCGGCCACAGAAGAGCAGCTTTTCCTTCCGGAGGGGCTTCTGGATGTCCCCTCACCCCGAGTAGCCTGCTCCCTGCCTGTCTCTTCCCCTCTCTGGCGAGCCAGCTAGCCCCATGAGAGCAGAAGTGGCGCCTGGAAGGTCTGGGCCTTTGGAGAATGGGGCCCTTCGTCCATCCTGCCTTCTCGGGTGAGCCCAGCCACGCTGGGCGTGAAGACGGCTGAGCTGCCTACACCATCCCTTCCTCCTGCTCAGGCCCCTGCTGCCTCCCTACCGCAGTGCTGTTTGCCTTTCTCAGAGAAGAAGAGCTTTGGCCTCTGTGGCGGGGTCACAGGCCGGGGGAGCAGAGAGCAGGGAGAACTGCCGGGGAAGGGAGGGGCACCTGGGTCTCTGTGGGGCTCGAGGGCTGCGCAGCGGCCAGCTGGCCGCCGCTTTTCTCTGCGGTGTTTCCCCTTCCCTCATCCAGCACTTGTGGGAGGGGCCCTCTCCTTGCTGCTCTGTAGGAAGCCAGCCGGCCAGGCCGGTGGGGCTGGGAAGGCCACAGCTGCCACGGTGACTGCAGGCAGGTGGAAGAGAAGGCAGCAGGAGAGGGGCGACCCTCTGCCTGCACCCCGAGCCGACTGCATTTAGTCTCTTGCCCTGTGTGTGGTTCTGTAAACTCACGCGAATAAACCTGTTCTGTGTGCCTCGCTGACGCTCCGACTGGTCTTTTTGGGTCCCGGCCTGCGCCAGATGAAGCCGCGGGGCAGTGGGTCTCAGGGCAGGATGGGGCATGGTTGGGAAGGCCAAGGCCAGAGTGGGTGGGAAAGCAGGGGGAGGCCTGGGAAGGCTGGAGCCAGTGGCAGAGACAGAGCCAGGGGTTTGTGGCTAAAACCGGCTGCAGGTCACCAAGCACAGTGGATCTTCCTCCTGGCCGCAGCTGGCTACGTTGCCCGCCTCCCTTGCAACGGGTGGGCAACGTGACTGCCTTCCGGCGCTGTGCAGACGTGTGCCCGCCCAGGCCCGGGCGCACAAGGCTCCCGCACGCTCCTCCACACCACGCCCTTCAGCTGGCTTGATGCGAATCTCACAGTGACCTTCAGGCCCATGTCCTGAATGTAGCAGAGCCACAAGGAGAAAGGAGCCCTGTCTTTGAGCTGATTTTTCTATTTTTAGTAGAGACGGGGATCTCACTCTTGCTCAGGCTGCTCTCAAACTCCTGGCCTCAAGTGATCCTCCTGCCTCAGCCTCCCAGGGTGCTAGGATTATAGGTGTGAGCCACCGCGCCCGGCCAGGGCCTCACTTTTGCCAGGCTCAGAAGGCCAGGCCTGCCAGGCAGTGTGAGTGACGCAGACACCCGGTCTACGGCAAGCTAGGAGCGCCTTTCCCACCGTGGCACTGAAGGTACTTTCTGGAGCTCCACAGGCTCTGAGACAGGGCCTCACGCGCTGCGTGACCTAATAACGGCCCAGGTGTCCACGCCTGGCCCACAGCTCCCGAGAGTTTGACACGCAGTCAGGTGATGGGCGTGACATGGCTTTGGAAAGGCCAAACACCCTGCTCTGACCCGTGTCTTGATCCATCCTAAGCATGGGTGCTTTCACCTCTCTTGAAGGCTCCCCTTCCACTTGTGTGACTCGGTGCGTGCGCGTGTCTGCGTGTGCGTGCGCGTGTGTGCCCGCGCAGAGGAAGTAGTTCCTTCCCGCCTCCTCATTCAAGGTCCTGCCCTGTGATCCTCCGTCCCTCCTTCCTTCCTTCCCATTCCACCAGCCCGCACCCCCATGATGACAGAGGACACGGACCTGTTCCCTCCGCAGCGGCCCCCTAGTTCCTTACTTCCCGAGATAGCAACGCTCTCCGGAAAGGCCGCTTTCCTCGCCGTTTCCATCTCCTCGCTGCGCATGGAACGGTGGGAGCCTATTCCAGCCAGGCTTTGTCCCCACTCCTAACTGCTGCAGCCAAGGTCACCAACAGCCCCCATCGAGCCAAATTCAGGGATCACATCTTAACCCCAGTGTGGCGCTCCAGCCGGGGGACTTCAGGGAGCTCCAGCTCCCTCCGGGTGGGGGAAGGACCCGCTGGGCTGGTCTAGACGCAGAGGCACAGGCCGCAGGGGGTGGGAGGACTTGTTTATTCAAGGCACGGTCATAGCATTAATAACAAGAAGGTTCAGCATTCTGGCACATTCCTGTAGTGGTGGTGGCCAAGGTCAGTCCAGCCCCCCACCGAGGCCCCAGAGGACGCAATGCTGCTGATAGGCACTTTGCTCCCAGAGGCAGCTGCGGGACAGGCAGGCAGGCGTGGGGCCGCTGAGGCCGGGGCCCTCTCGGAGGCTCTAGTCTAGGCAGTGCGGCCCCCTGGGAGGCAGCTCCCTTTAGAAAGGATCCAGTGGGGGGTGCTTTGGTGGATGGACAGGGGTGCTGGGAAGTGGGGGGAGAGGAGAGGGTGGTAGGGGAGGTCTGTGGGTGAGACAAGAGTGGGCTCAGGGTGCCTGGGAGGACCTGGATGTGGTGTTGTGGGGGGAGTGGACTAAAAGACACCCCCCACCCTAGTGGCCGTGGTGGGTCCAGGTGGAGCCTCACAGTTGCCTTAAGAGTGGACTCCGGAGCTTCCTGAACATGCACACTACCTCCTCTCAGAGCCGGCACTTGACCCAAGTTCAGAGGGGGAAGCCCCCAGCCATCTGCCGGGACCCTTCCCACATGCAGCATCCCAGGCTGCAGGGGAGGTGGGCAGCAGAGGGGAGGCGGGACCAGCAGCAGCGTCCCACAGGGCGACAGAGACTGCACAGGGCCCAGCAGGCGGGGCCAGGGAAGCAGGGGCCCCGGGCCAGCTTCTGGCAGGACGCCCACAGCCCCCATCCTCAGTACACACTCTGGGGCAGGCAGGGCCTGGGGCTGGCCGTCTCCCCACTCTGGGCAAACTCCCTGCCGGGCCTGGCCACCCTGCTATGGAAGGTCCTTTCCCCTTGTTGGCTGGTGGAATTCCAGGGGCAGGGGCTCTGTGGGACCTGGCTGTGTGAGGGCCAGGCTGGGTATAGTTTCCCCCTTATTCCTGGCTGGACAAGGAATGGGAAAGGCAGCCCCTCCCCGGCTGAACCGAGCTCTCTGGAAAGATTCCCCAGGCCAAAGTTGGGTGACAGCTGCTCCCTGAGCACTATTTCCCATCTGAACTGAAGCTTGGAGCTCCGGGGGCTGGGGTGTGGGCAAAGTAGTGCAGGGACAAGGCCAAGGTGATCTGAGTTCAGGGCAGCCATGTGCCTGGGATGCGGTGAAAATGCTTGGGGCAGGTGAGCCCGGGGCCCACCGCCAGCAGGTGGCAGCAGGAACCCAGACCTGGGGGAGGGCCCTGGAACATGCAGACCCCATTCAACTGGGTTAGTTCTGGCTCACAGAGGCCCCAGCCAGCTCTTCTCCAAGTCCTCCTCGGCGGGGCTTCCTGTGGTCCTGTCCTCTGCCGGCTGTGGCAAAGGTGCTGTTGGGTGTCACCAGCATTGTTCAGGATTCCCCTCCGCCAGGTCTCAGGTGGTGGCAGCCCCAGGTGGGGGGGTGGCCTGCTTCACCAGAAAGGGCTTCTCCATGGAGGACACGGCCCTCACCTCCACCCCACCCCCCCAGCAGGCCTGGGGTGACGTCACTGTCAAAGCATCTGCAGTGTCTGAACCAGGGCCACACTGGGGGCCACTTGGATGTTCTTCAGAGCAGGGTGCAGGGCAGCCCCGAGAGGGGAGGAAGGGTCCTACCTACTTGGGGTGGGGGTAGCCAGTCCTTCCATTGGAAGCATGGGTTTCTTACCCTACGCTGCTGCCCGTCTTGGCCAAGTGGGGGCTCCAGGCACTCAGCAGTACGAGGCAGAAGCTCATAGTGGCCACATCCTTGGCTTTGGGGATCTTCTCGTTAGGCCCTGGGGCTTGGGCAGTATGTCTGGTTTCCCAGCACGCAGGGGTTTGGCGAGAAGACCCCCTCCAAGAATTCCGCCTCTGCCCCTCCCCACCTCACAGTACCCAGCAAGGAGCAGCCGAGGTTTCCTTCTTCAAAATGCACGCAGGTCTCGTTTAATGAGCCCGAGTGACCATGTCTCATCCACCCCCTTGTAAGAACAGGAAGGAGACGGGCCTCCATCCTGCCGGGCCTGGGGACATCTGCCCAGGGCAGAGGAACAGGAAAGGGCTCAGTCACCTCTTTTCAGGTCAACAGGTGCAGAGGCTTTCTCTCCCCAGATGGCCATCTGTGTCTCGTGGGGAGGCCCAGTGCGTGTGCTTTTGCCTCACACCACGGGGGGCGACGGGGCGGAGGTGGGGGCGCAGCGCAGAAGCTCCCCGGAAGGGCAGCTGGTGCAGGGGCGGCGACGGCCCCAAAAGCCGTCGACAGGCTTCCTTCTGCTTCCTCCCCGTGTACGCCGTCTCCATCGCAACCCCAGGCCTAGCCTTCGGTCTCTGCCCGGGGCTTCCGCCACGTCTCCCAAGGCAGGGCGCCTGCCTCATCCTCCACCCCCCCGGCACCTCTGCCCAGCCTAGAGCCTCCGGTTCCAGCCGCTCAGCGGGGCAGGGCCTCCGTGTAGACATGGCCGGGATGGCAGATGTCTCCACCTGGGGCTTCTCAAGGTCTGCAGGAGGGAGTGGGGAGGTCCAGGCCACCCTCCTGCCTCCCCCTGCTAGGCCCTCCCCTGGCCCTTAACTTGTCGCCAGTGGAGGCCCGGGGTCCTGGTCAGTGGTACTGGCTCTGGCCCTCTAGTTCCAGCCCCTCCTGGAACTGGGCCGAGTCCGGCTCCCTTGCAAAGCCCCTCAGACCACTCTCTTCTTCGTCTTCCTCTGGCTGCTGGCTGCTCATGGTGCCGTAGGTGTGCCTGGCTGGGGAGGACGCCGGGGTCAGATTCAGCTCCGGCTCTTGCAGCACGGTGGCCACGTACAGCTGCTCGGGACAGAGGGAGAGGGGAGTAAGGTCACATCTGAAGTGAGGCCCTGGGCACAGCCTCTCCCCTCACACCCCACCCCATCACCTCTGTCCCCTCCAAGCCATGGAGCCGTCCTTCCTCCCAGCAGCCTGACCCTGTCCATCCCACCTGCCTCCTTGCTCCTGGTCATTTCACGAGCATCCAGGGCTCCAGGGATGGCTTAGTGTGTGGGGTCTTCCCCGACTAAGTCCACGTCCTTCAGAACACTTTCCATTCATTCTTGCTTCTAAGTCAGGCTGAACCCAGGGGAGATGACCTAAGGTTCCCCTCAGCTGGGGTCTGGATAGACCTTCATTCCTGAGCTAGTGCACTTTCTTTCTTTTATTTAAAATACTTTTGATTTTAATTTTTTTTTTTTTTTTTTTTGAGACAGGGTCTCACTCTGCCCAGGTTGGAATGCACTGGTATGATCATAGCTCACTGCAGCCTTCAGCTTCTGGGTTTAGGCAATCCTCCCGCCCTCAGTGCCCGAGTAGCAGGGACTACAGGTGGGCACTATAATGCCCAGCTATTTTTCTTTTATTATTATTTGTAGAGATGGGATCTCGCTATGTTGCCAAGGCTGGTCTCAAATTCCTGGCCTCAAGTGATCCTCCTGCCTCAGCCTCCCAGAGTGCTAGAATTACAGGCGTGAGCCACTGCGCCAGGTCAGGTACACTTTCTAATGCAGCTTTGCTGGTGCATCCAGAACTCCCTTGGGGTGTGTCACTGGTTGGCCTGTGAATCGGGATTTGAAACTGAGACTGCCAGCTGAGACCTTGGTCATGTGGCCTGTCAAACCCAGGAATGGTCCTAGGAATGCCTGGGAGGGCAGCAGACTAGAAAAACACAGCAAGTACCAGAGAGGAGAGCAATTGGTCATCCTTTGAAGTGGCTTTTAAAACAACTCCTTATTTTGAAAATAGGTAATTGTGGAGTATAATCAAACCTTTCCGATAGGAGTTTATTTCAGTGAAACCAACAGCCCCCATTGATGAGGGAACAATTTCCCAATAAAAAGATCTAGACATCTGCATGGTGCCAAAGTAAACCCCAAAGACGGCCGTTGGTCCTAAAGGGGAAAATGGTAACTGAACGATGGGCAGGTCCGGCTGTCATTCCCCAGTCAGTGGGTCATGTCAGCACCATTAACCGGGGTAAACGGTGAGAGGCACAGCACTACCTGTCATGTGTTCTCGTCCCCACATTGAACTTGAATCTATCAAGCCTTCAGATCTCACTTCTAGTTTGCATGGAATACGGGAGATGGCGGAACCTGCTGTCAGACACCATGAAGAAATAGCCAGAAAAATCTAGAAGGCAGGCTATTCCGCAGGACTACTGGTTTGCTCTCTCCAGCAAGTCATAAAAAAATGACTGTGCTAAAATAAAAGGCACCTAACAACCAGATGCACAGGCACCAGATAGGATCTTGGTTTAGACAAACTATAAAAGATTTTAATGTAATTTGAATATGGACTGGGTATTCGAAGAGATTAAAATTTTATACATATGGAAAGACAGAGATTGTTAACTTCAATGCAGGTTATGAAACAGTATGTGCAGTATTAGAAAAACCACATATATACACATATAAAATTATCTGGAAGAGACACATAATATTTGAATGTCTGGAAGAATATACACTAAGGTAACAGTGGCCATCTCTGGGTGGTGGGAATTTGGGCTTTTGATTTCCTTATTTTTGCTTATCTTTTTTCCCTATAATTATAATGTTCATATATCACTATTGTAATAATGAAAGATTGAAAAAATAAGTTCTAGTATATATTTTTTTAAATCACAGGCTTTCGAGTCAGACGGACTTGGTTCAAACTTTGTTCTGCCACTCCCTGGCTCAGTGATCTGGGATCTCCATTAACTGACATTTTGAGCCTCAGTTTGAGGCTCAAAAACTGTGCAGGTTTATCAAAAGATTAGGAGAATGGCAAAGCATCAGGTTTGTAAGAAGATTTCACAAACTGGCCGCTAATGACATTCGAGAGGGGTCTGTGGGAATGGTCCCAGGAAAAGGGAGACTTTCCTGCTTCAAAATCTCTGTCCTCTCTCCAGTACCCGAGCACCTCCCCTGCTGCCCCCTCAGGGCATCTGATCTGTGCAGGACTGCAAGTGAGGCAAACCTGGAGTTCTGGTGACTTCTTGTGTCTGCACCATGGGGGGGCATGTCCACTGCTGTTGTTTTGTCTATGTCTCTCTCTGTCACTATGCACTTTAACCCAGCTCTGCCCACGACTAAAGAAAGCCTCGTGCCCCACTGCCCACTCTGATTTCCACCAGCCGAGACTGTCTTCAGCTGCCCCGATGGATCGATTCTCTCTTCCAGGCCTTTGCACGGGCTGCTCCTCCTCCTGGAATGCTCTTCCCAGACACCCTATTTCACCTGGCAAACCCCTACTCCTGTTCCTGGGGTCAGATGAGGTGTCCCCTCCTCTGGGACGCTTTCCCTGAGTGCCCAGGCTGGCTGGCGCCCTTCTTCAGTGCTCCTCCGTGGCACCCTGGCATTGGGCACAGGCTTCCCGGTCCCCAGCTCAGTGCACATTCTGGGCATCCGAACTTGTGGCAGGCATGAGGGTGAGTGCTCACGCCCACATGTGACAGCCAACGCCCAGCCTTCCTGCTGGGCCCCTGCACTCTGGGTCGGCCTCTCTCTTCAGGCTGATGGGGTCACTCATGCGCGCCACCCCTGCCTTACCATCAGTGCAGACCTCCGCTATCGCTCCTGCAGCTCTGCCTGCGCCTGTGCCCTGGAGGCAGCCTTTGGTCCTGAGGCCCAGCCTCAGGACGCCCCCGCATCTACACAACTGATGTCGCTGAGGGCCGGCTCGCCCTGACAGAGTACTTCCTCTCTGAGGACCTTCTAGACATTGCCGGGGAAGGTTGGGTTCTTCTCCTTTCCTCAGTCTTCAGCCAGGTCCACGGCAGCAATTGGACCTGGGCCAAGTCCTGCTGCGTCAGAGAGGGGAGCCCAGGGGGTCCCCGTCTCCTCCCCGGGACCCAGGGTGGGCACCAAATGCTGGTGCCCCCCACAATGCCGCTGGAGTGGACCACCCCTGCAGGCACCACCCTCCAGGCCTGTCCCCAGGGTGCAGGTGGTGACTCACAAGGGAGGTGGGCGTGGAGGAGGTGCTGCTCGGCTCCAGGTCGAACACGGTCCGGATCTCATCCTCCTCGGGCTGTGGCGGGGAGAGGGAGGTGGTCACAGAATGGGGTGTCTGTTCTGCGCCCCTCCCTGCCCACATGCAGAAGGGCCCCCGCCCCGCACCTGGGCCCCCACCACCCTGAACTCAGCTCATATTCTGTCTGCCAGGGGGACAGAGGGGACGGTGATGCAAGAGAGTCCCTTCTGCAAAGTCCTGTCTCAAAGGACCACGATAAGGGAAAGTAAGTAGAGTTCGGATTGGGGTTCAAAGAGGAGCCTGCTTGGACTCTAGGAAAAGCCTTGACTTCAACACTGTCTTCTTCCTTCCTGGGATTTCCCTCCATATTTGGAACGAGTCCTAAACCAATACAGTCTAAGTCCCCGGCCATCCTCCCTCCCTAGAGTGGACACTTGGGCAACCACCACACAACATCGTTGTATTAGAGAGACAGAGCTGGGGGCTGTTCACGCCGGCCCCTCACTAGCGCGGCACTCCAGCCCGGTGACAGAGGACGAGGGCCAGGCAGAGAGGGCACAGGTGCCTGTGCCCGGGGCCCTGGGGACGCCAGAAGCCAGAAGATCCTCCTCCGAGAGGTTTCTCCTCTGACTCAGCAGGGTGTCAGTACTTAAAATCAACTGTCTTTTCTTTATATAAATTAATTTAAAAAGGAAACAATCACTATCGTAAACAGAAAACCTGTGCCGGTTGCCATAAGCAGAAACTAAAAAAAAAAAAAAAAAAAGAAATGTGACTATGAAAAATGAAAACTCTGTTTTGGTCTACCCGCTTTGGGACATGCTGGTCTAGAACACGGGGTTGCTGGCCTGGCTCTGAAAGGGTGGGGACAGCCTGCGTCTGCCCGGGCAGCCGATTGTGAGGCTGGGCCCCGCTGCCAAAGAGCCGAAGGAGGCCCAGGGTGGGGGCAGGGTGCCTCTAAACACCAGGCTAGTTCACCAGCACGTTCAACAGCCTGGGATTCTCAAAGGTGAGAGAATGACTATCCCCCGTCCCCAGGTCCTCCTCTCTCAGTCCTGCAGCCCTTGGAACGGCGCTCACAGCTCAGTGGCTGGACGGGACTCACACTGGAGGAGCCCGCTGCTTGGAGGTGGCGTCAGAGAGCAGAAAAGGAGAGGACAGCCATCTTCCGGGAGGGGGTTGGGGTCTGAGCCGGTGCAAGGCACGCTGCACACTGGGCTCCCACACCCCACAGTCAGCGGGAAAGGCGAGACCCTTTCATCCTGGGCTGCTGTGGGTACCCAGGCCAGGAGGGTGTCCTGGAGCTGTGTCCCCCAGGGGCCGGCAGAACCAGTGGGAGACGGGCAAGCTGGCAACTCACCTTGTACTCAGGGGCCATCCAAAACTTCCCCATAAAGATGCCAACAAAAGCAAGTACTATGGAAATGAGGAGGTTGGTCAGGGAAAAAACGGTGATGGGGTGGAGGGAACCTGCCGAGGAGAAGAAAAGGCCATGGACAGGCGTCTACCCGCTGAGCTGCCACCCCAACTGACAGAAGCCTGGGGACAGTCTCAGCGCTTCGGCGAGGGCCTTGACCTGCCCCATTCTGAGAAACCCAGGACCAGTGAGCCTGACACAACATCAGCCCTCTATTGACTTAAGAAACCACTTAAGTGCCTGTTAAACGTGTCCTTCTGACATTTCCTTGGGAAGTCTCTTTGAGTCCCCATTTCTGCCACTGCCCCCAAACGATGTCTGCTCTACACCCCGCCCCACAAGCCCATCTCGGGTGAGAATACCCAGTCATCGGTGCTGAAGGCACTGACAAGCAGTCCCGAATGCAGAAGTCATTTACATTTCACATGGGGATATTTGGTCCCCTTTTCATGGCAGTCATTACAGTCAGAGCCCACTGCTCATGATGCTTCCTGTAGCATTTTTACAGCGGCAAATGATGGCCAACAAGCCCCACTGGGAAGGTTAAGGTTGAGTGCCCAGAGGGAAGGGCAGTGGGGTTGGGGCTTCCGTGGGGAACAGGTGCCTCCCAGGGGAGACAGCCAAGTGACTGTCATCTGTGGCCCACGGGGACTGCTTCCAGAGGTGTCTCTGAGCTCCCTGCAGGTACAGCGGCTTTGAGTAGCCAAAGAATAAGTGAAAAACCAGCCACCCCTGAAGACTCTGATTCCTCCTCCAGGTTCCTGGAAGCCCAGGAAACCAGGGAGACCCTGGGGGCAAAGTCATGGTCATGGAGCCTCCAATAGCTAAGATTCTATTTCCCGCCAGCCTGGAGTCAGAATGAAGTAATATGGTGTTTCCTGCCCTGAGGGGTAGAAACCTACGTCCACACAACTTGGGCCCTGTGGGCCAGGCCCTCCCCAGGGCCCCTAAGCTCTGCCGAGACTCTGATGGGTGTCCTTCGGGCCCAGAGAAGTCGCTGGACGTGGCCCAGTCCAGTGAGCAGCGTCTGGGTCTCCCTGGGCTCCTCCCCTCTAGCAGCGTGGGTGTCAAGGGACTCGCAGAGCAGTCGGGGCAGGCGAGGTGGGACAGCCAGGCAGGCAGGGCACCTACCCAACCGCAGCACGGAGAAGAAGAGCATCCAGAACAGACCCAAGAGCGGGGCGAAAATGGCCTGGGAGATGGCGGCTATGTGGATCTGCGCGTTCAGCTTGGTGGGCACGTAGGAGTAGTACATGTTATAGCGATCTGTTACGTGCTTCATGGCCAGGTACAGCAGCCCTGGGGGACCGGAAGATGGAGACACATTCAGTGGCTACTTTAACAGTTGGGACCTGTGCCACCCCGATGTCCCCAGAGCCCCAAGAAGCCAGATTCAGAGTAACAAGAGCCAAGGACGAGTAGCCAGATTCAGAGTAACAAGAGACAAGTTACTCTTGTCAGAGTAACAAGAGCCAAGGACGACAGCCAGTTGTGTGATGCTGACCTCTTGGCACCAGCAGCTACCCTGGAGTCTCCAGAACTTACTCTTCCAGCTTGGTGAGGAGTCATTCATTCATGCATTCATTCAACAAACATCTTGTGGCAGGAGCTGTCTCATCTCAGTCCCCCTGCCCCCATCCTGACACCTCCTTGCCACAGGTTGCCCCGGATCTGCTCATGCTCCAGGAGGTGGCCCCATGTTGTGGGGCTCAATTCCTCCCCCCAGTCTGAGGGTGCGAAGCCCTGGGTGTGGCCCATCGGTGACTCACCGAAAGGGACAATGATGGGACACGTGATGCTGTATGCCATCACCACACTGAAGACGTTCATCATCCACGCATACTCCCGCCCGTACTGGAAGTCTGTGGCGTGGTCCTGGAGCAGAAGACAGGGTCACCCCAAGGTGGCCCAGTCGGCTTAGCCTGGCCGCTCCTGCAGCTCTCGTCGGCCTCCTGGGCGCTGGCTGGTGGCTCAGGCCTGGAGACAGCCTCCCTCCCAACCCTGGAGTCCAGGGCACAGCCGCCCGGCCACACCACCCCTCCAACCTCATGTCCCTCAGTGCTCCCAGCAGGGCCCCCTCCCTGACACTCTCCCAAGGGAAACTGAGGGCTGTCTCAAGGCAGGGCCTGGCCCTCACCTTTCTGATATGAGCTCTCTCTGGCTCCGACCTGGAGAAGAAGAGGCGGATGCAGTACCAGAAGAGCGCCCCCGGGCGTAGCAGGTCCATGCTCGTGCCAAGGAGAGCTGCCGTGACCACATAGTTGACGAAGAAGGCGCCGTTGTCTGGCAGGAACACACACCTGGGCGGTGGGGGAGAGGGGAAGACAGCAAAAGCAGCCGGGGGGACAGGGACAGGGGAGAGATGTTGAGGGAGGAGGAGAGAGGAAGAGAAGAACAGCAGAGGAAGTGGAAGACAGACGAGGAGAATGAAGTTTCATATAGATCGACAGAGAGAGAGATGATAGATGGATCCATATGTCCCCAACCCAATTTAAGTTAACAAGGAGTTGTTTGAGCAGGGCTGGGGGTGGACCACGTAAAGTGTGGATGTTTTAGGGGACACGTGCACTGGCTTGATCCAAAGTAGGGTGTCTGACCCGGGTCCGTAGACTCTAGGGAGTCCACGAGTGAGATTCTGGGAGTCTGTGCCTTTGCATGCATGGGAAAAAAATTACTTCTTTATTTTCACTAATCTCTAACTGAAACCGAGCATTTCCTTCCATTAAGATTATGGGCAGCAAATCCTAGTAATGTTAGCTGCTGATGTGACTTTATCACCAACTGAAATCAGATGTTTTCACATCACGTTGCAGTCACTCCTGGTATCTTACAGCACCATCTGTGCTCGTCACCATTTCAAAATGACGGTAGGTATCAGACGTGCTGCTAAATGACACGCGATTGAAGTTTTCCTGTCTGCAGATATGTACGTGGTGTAACTTGGTCGGCTTCAACCAGGAGTCACTCAGCCACCCAACGCCACGTTGCCTGTTAGCGCTGTTGCTTTCTGGTGTTCTCATCTACACAATTCCGTCAACCTCCTTGAAAAGAGAAACCTGCAAGCCTCCGAACATAGTTCAGAACTCCTTCAGAAGCTGTTCTTTCTTGATGGCGTCAAAGTTGAGCCATAAACTCACAACCCTTTTCTTTCTCATATATAAACTGTGTTGAAGATACTGGCCTAGCCAAAGAGGGACACATTCATCCTAGAAATAAAAACTTACTACAATCATAGTTTAACCTTGGAGAATTCTGGTCCTTCCCTTATTGCTCAAGCTCGGGAAGCTTGTGTGTCTCATTTCCAACATTTCTTTGAAAACTGGGATTGGCAACACTTGTAACCATAAAAACAGAAGATCGAAATTGGCTAAATGTCCAACGTGATCTGCATGTCTCCTCGTCAAAGATCCACCCCTAAATTGATGTTCTTATTCCAATAAGATCAGCTGTCACACTGTTTTTAAAACAATAAAATGTAACTTTAGGTTTCCTGTATTTAAAATGCAATATCTTGTTACCAATGTGTCAATAAAGTCTGTGTCACAAATTAGTTTTTGAAATATTTTGACAAATATATTTCAGTATAGTTGCTTTTCTTGGCAATCCATGTATTTTATACACTTAAAGACATCATTGAGAGTCCATGTAAAATTGGCAATGTCTGAATAAGTGTTTTTGTGGACTGTACCAACGTGAATTTCCTGGTTTTGATACTGTACTATAGTTATGCAAAATGTTACCAGTGGGGGGAACTGGATGAAAAGTACATGGGACCTCCCCTGCCCCCATACATTTTTGGAGCAACTTCCTGTGAACCCACAATTATTTCAAAAACATCATTCTGAGAAGGGGCCCCTGGACTTTACCGGATTGCCAGTTGGGTCCTGGCACAGGGAAGGTTAGAAGGCTGCCTAACGAGAGGGTTCCCATGCATCTGTCTCTACCTCTGTGAGCAAATTCAGGTGTTGGACTCAGGGAAGGGCGCACATGCCCAGCCCAGTGGAACACACAGACACCCTGGGGCACACATGGGACTACTCACTGGAACCTGATGGACGCCTGCTCCAGGTAGTAGATGTCAAAGAGCCAGCGTAAAAAGACATCCAAACTGGAAGCAAGAACAAGCCAGCCCCTTAGTTAAATAATCTGTGAGTTAAGGCCTCCAGTTCAATTTCTCTCTGTGCAGCTTCCTTCCTTCCATCCTCCCTTCCCCTATCCCCAAAGACTCTTGCCTCCTTCCAGCGGCCAGTCCCTCTTCCTTCTTAGTGCTGGGCCACCCTTGCCCTGAGCCCTTTGGCCTTTCAAGCTCAAGGCCACCTCCTCCAGCAAACCTTCGCCAGCCATTTCTTCCACCGTGCTCCCTTCCTCTTCCCAATTTCTCCTGCTTGTTGGCTGCATCCTTCCTACCTTGGGCTGTCAGTCAGCTTGCCTTGTCCCCCTGCTGGGTGACGAACTCTGACACGTTACAGTTTGCATGATACCCGGCTTATCTACGCCCACGGCGGGCACGGGACTGTCACATGAGGAGTGGATTTGCAGCAACCCCGGTTGCTACAGTGTCTGAAAGAGGAGCGTCTAACGCTAAGGCCTGCCTTGGAGGAGGTATAATTGGAGGTGAGATACCTGGTCAGTCCCATAGAGGGCAGGATGACCACCATGAACACCAGAAAGATGTAGCACTTGTGCGCTATGATCAGATTCTGATTTGATCTAGAAGGAAATAAAGAGAGATATTCATTAGTCTCACATACTAATGAATATGTATATATGTTTGTGTGTATGTGTGTGTGTGTGTGTGTGTGTATATATATATATATGTAGAGAGAGAGAGAGAGAGAGAGAGAGCACAAGCTATCTGGGCTAGGAAACTGGTTTAATTGTGCAGACCAGTGCTGTCTCCATGGAGCACTGTGAGCTGTGCTGCATCTGGGAGCAGCAAGAAAGAACAGCATGATCAACTAGTGATGTCTGCCCTGCACACAGGAAGGGAAGAGAAAGTACAGCCATGACACATATTTGACATCTTTGTGTTGAAGAGACATTACCAATGATACTTGGAGTCCTGTGGAGCTTCTATGATCTATATAAGCCTTGTTTTTGGCCATAGGAAAGGCCAGAATGGCTTTTGGTTAGGACAAACCTTTTGGCTTGCTGCCTGGTAGAACAGTAGGAACTTTGGGTGCAGGAAATAACTTTTGAGACACATGCAACCTCCAGGCCAAGGCAATGCCACCTGGCCAGGATGTGACAAATACTTCCTACCCAGTTATCCACTACCATAGGAACATTAGGGCTAACAAAGGGAAAGCTCCTGATTGCTTAAAATGTTGGCAGTGTGGGGGCCAAATGTGTCAACGTACTGAAATCGCGGGCCCCTCTGCCATGGCCATGGCACATTTCCTAGGCGAGTCTTTTCATCCTGCACTCTCTGTCTCTAACTCCTGGCACTGCCAGGCTCACACCTACAGCTTCATCCCTACAGCGTGTGGCTGGGGGCTGAGGGAACAGCCTAAGGAGGGCTTGGGGGCCAGAGGCCTGGAGACAACCCAGGCCCTCTGTCCAAAGTGAAAACACCTGGAGGTGTTTTGGGGTGGTTTCAGGTGTTAAGACCATCCCATATCAATTCCTCTCCTTAGGCCAGAGGGGAGGCCCAAGTGCAGTATGGTGAGGGTGGCTAGGACAGAGGGAGAGGCTGGGGAAATGGCAGGGCTAGGGGTGTGGGAGAGGAGGTCCCCAGGTCACCTGGTCCAGTGGGCCTCTAGGAAGGCGGAGAAGTAGACGATTAAAGGCAGTATCACCGTGAAGGCCCAGAGCAACACAGAGGGGAAGAACTGGGTCACGATGGGGCTCTGTAAGGCAGAGGGGAGGAGGGCATGTCAGTGCCGGGAGCCCCGTCCCCTTGGGCGCCTGTCCTGACTCCTCCCACGTCCCTCTTCTCCTCCAGCTCAACCCCAGGGCGGGCTGCCTTCCTGGAGGGCGCAAGGGGGCCCTGGCCTTTCTCCCGTGCCTTCCTGGCCGGGAGTCTGCCTGGCTGGGGGCAGGCAGAGGCTGACACTCCAAGGCCAAGTGGAGTCCCCAAGGGGCCAGGCCTTTTACGCTTTGGTCACCGGACACTCCAAGGCCAAGTGGAGTCCCCAAGGGGCCAGGCCTTTTACGCTTTGGTCACCGGAGGGACAGCCTGAGCCTTCCTGAGTGACACTGCCCCTGCTGTGAGGATGTGTGAGCAGGGGGTGGGAGGAGAATCCTCTGGGAATGCTGTGGCACTCCCAGGATGCATGTCGCTGGGGGCCTATTATGAAGGAGACAAAGGGGAACAAAGGTCAGCAGCAGAAGTGGTGAGGCTTGACTCTGCTGTGCATGTGCGTGTGTGGTGCTGGGAGCGAGGATGGGGACCGCGTTGCAGGAGGGGCCTCCTAGGCTCCTTGTAACGGCCTGGAAGCTGCAGGTGCGGGAAAGGGCGGGCGCTGCCTCTGAGCTGCGCTGTCTGGGCGGGGTGTCCCGCACCTTCAGGGCCGGCTCCCACGGGCCGAGGGCTCCCCGCCGGGAGTGGAGGGGTCTGAACACAGGGGAGCTGGAGACAGAACTGGAGTCCCCACTTCCCTCAGAGGGCCGTGTGGGGACTTACCTTACTCTTCCTCACCTGCAAGCCCACCCCTCAAACTAGGAACCTTCAGCCCAAGAGAACTTGGCCAGAACGGAGCTGGTCACACCTGCCCCACCCCCACCCCCTGGCTGGCCTGGGACGACGCCATCTGATGAAGCCCCTGAGCCCATGCTGACCCGACCACCTGTCCCCCTAAACTCGCCCCAGGGCCCACCTGCAGCTCCCCCATCTCCTTTCCTCTCCCGCCCCACCTACCCCCAAGACGGGCGATGACCCACCCTCACCCCTTCAGCGCAAAGAACCCTCTGCCCCACCGTTTACACCATCGCCCGTCCTCGCCTGAGTGTTCCCTTGGTCTCCCCGGGGCCCCCAGGCCTGGCCTGAGCAGAGGAGGCACCTGCAGGTTCTCGATAGGGCGGGTGACGTTGTACATGTCAATGGTGTTGATGATGATGGCAGGCGTGGTGAGGAAGAAGAAGAGGAAGAAGAGGAAGGTGTTGATCGAGATGAAGCGGGCCCACCAAAAGAAGCGGCGGACCGAGAGGTGTTTCCTGGGCAGGGAGGGAGCAGGACGCACACTTAGAGACAGCCCGTGCTAATCCTGCACGCCGGCTGTGGACCCCGGCCGCCCTGCTCTGATTCAGGCCTCTGGGCCCAGCCCTGCACGCAGCGGGCCCCTGGGCCATCGCTCAGTTATGCCATTTGCAAAGGCTCTGGATATATCACATAGGTGAGCAAAAAATGGATCTGAGTTCTTTCTGCAGGAAAAACCTTTTCCCCAAGGACTGGGCACCTTGCACACTTGTGGGGAGAGTTTGGGGGTAGGCAGAGGCTCTGGTGCTCCCGAGAGTCTGTGGCACAGCCAGCGGGGGCCGTATTTGGACAGCCCTGGGCACAGTCTCCAGAGAGTCTCTGCTGGGCAATAGAGTCGGGAGAGAAGGCCCCATCCTCTTGCCGCCTTCAGTCCCAGGAGAGCTCAGGGGAGGGGGGCTTACCAAATAATGTCTTTGGGGTGTGGGGCGACAGAGACCCTCCAGTTGTAGGACTTGACGATCGTGGTCACTGAGGACTGTTGGGGGGGCACGCCGCAGAGGAGGTACTTGTAATCCTCCTTGACGCTGCAAAGACGGGAGAGGAGGAGGAGACAGAGGTCTGGGGGTGGGAGGATGGGCTTAGGAGGGTCCCATGCCAGGGTCCCAGGCTCCTGTGGCAGTCCTACGCATGGGAGCTCATCGTGAAGCCTTGGATATGCCTCCCAAGACCTTACAGATGGACAGTCTCTAAGGCCCTGAATCTGGAGGAAAGGGACATTCGAGGGAGCCCGGGCTGCCCAGGAAGGGGAGGGTGCCTCGGGGTCTGCCCCTGCCTTTCCTCCTCAACAGCAGTGACAGCACAGACACGCTCTTGCTTTCAGATCGAGAGGGAGGTACTAATTTCAGCCTCATCTTACTATCAGTAACGGCCAATTATTGAGTTCTTTCTGTGTAGTACTGGGTGATTAATATCATCTCAATCACACGGACTGCTAAATTAAGGTGCCTGGAGACACAAACGAAGAGGGCAGGTACTGGCCCTGGAGCCCCATCTGTGTGTGGCCTTCTAACTCAAGCCCCAGGTCCTCTCAACCAAATGATGATGTCTCAGAAAATGAACAGTGTTATCTTATGTAGGCGTATTGCTTAATACAACACACACAGACACGTTAAACAGAACACATGTCCCTTGTCAACCCTCTGGGAGGTGGACAGGGCAGAAATCAGTCACCAAATTTGGCAGATGAGAAGTTTGAATGCAGGTGACTTGCACAGTTGAGCACCATTGTTTGCGACTACAATGTAGGCTTCTCTACCATCCCTCTGCAGGGCTGGGGTGGGTGAGGACAGTGTTTGCATGGTCAGACTGCTCCAGGGAGAAGAGGCCCCTCAGTGCTTGACTGACGATTCTGGAGCTGCCTTAGGACTTTGGTCCAGTCGTAAGGACCCTTTTGGAACATTCCAGAGTGAACCTAATTCATTCCCTGTCCAGGTGGGGCTGCCAGAGGCTGGGGCAGAGAGGAGAGGGACTGGAGGGCTATGAATTGGGGGCAGAGGGGCCCGCAGTGGGAGAGGAGGGAAAACAGGGCTTCTCCATCCTGACTCTCTCTCTCTGTGGTGAGGAGAGCGGGCGATGTGCGTGCCACCAGGGAGAAAATGCATGCCACGCGTGTCAAGGCTGGAAGGGGAACCATAAGGTCAATGGCTACGCTGACCCTATGGGATGAGAACATATGGGATGAGAAGCCCAGGCCTGGGCATCCCTAGAGACCCGCCGGGCCCTGGCAGCTGGGGGAGACGGTGCAGCCATCTCACTGGGGAGCCAGAGGTCGGCGGTCCACGGGGGTCGTGGAGGGGCCGAGAGGTCAGAATATGGCAAATTGGAGGGCGGCTGGCTCTCCTCCGCCGCTTGGCTGGGAGACGGGTGACAGAGGCCCACTCTCGGGGCTGGGCAGGGCACCAGAAGCCGCTGCCCTGGTACTCACCGCTGGGCCATCCTCGAGTCCTGGAAGGTGACAAAGATCAGGTCGAGTCGCTTCAGCGGGACGCGGTTGAGCTCCGCGTTGAACTCGTCCGTCAGCTGCTCCTCCAGCTCGCTGTAGTACTGCTCTGCGTCTACCTGGGGCGAGAGGCGGCCCTCAGAGCCCGAGAGGCCAGGGCCCCAGGAAGGCCTGGACACGGGCGCCTCTCCCCTCAGCAGCCTGGGGGTGGGGGCATTGAAGCCTGGCAAAGATCACTCAGGACCCTGGGGGGCTCCAAAGTCCCGCCTCTAGAACGAGAAGAAGCTATGACTCCGCAATTTGCTCCCTGCCCTTAGATCTGGGGAAAGTGAGGCATGGCTGGGGGCAAGGGGTGCTTTCAGACTTGGGGGGTGCACTCCAGAGAGGTGGTAAGATGTGTTTGCAGCATTTTCAGGAGAGGGGGAACGATTCTTTTCCTGGACTGGCTGGAATTCAGTCCTACCTGAAAGAGGTGGCCTTGCAAAAGTCAACAGGAAAATATCTAATCCTGCAATTTCCTAGTGACAGTGAAAGATCAATCCTGTCCGTTCCCTCACTAACAGGCACCTGGCGGGAGTTCTGTTTTGTAGAACTTCTGAAAAGAGCTGAACAGATGGAATAAGATGTAAGTCTTTCCCTTTCTAAATTGCCTTTGAAAATCTACTTTTTACAGTCTGGAAAGTTCCTGAGTGAACAGCAGGGTCTGAGCTTCAGGCTTCGGCCACGTCTCCAGGGCAGAGTCACATCTCCTGCGATAATCCTGTCTCCAAGGAAAGGCGGGGGACTTTGACATCCTGCAGCGGTTTCTGATATCATCCTGCCGCTGAGAAGAAAGAACCGAGTGGACCCAGCAGTACCCTGTTAATTTGGCTACAGCCACAGACCTTCTTCATCCCTAAATAAAAGCCTGAATACCCAGTTCTCTTTGCCAACATCCTCGACCTCCTTCACTTCTGTTGGCCTTTTTTTCTGCCCAGGGAAAAGTAAATAAACTTCTTCTTTCTTTGTTTTAATGAAAATGACTTTATTTTATATTTAACAAAATGTAGACTTTAATGATAACCATATGTTAATACTTAGAACGAACAAAGAATTTTGGCTATATTTTTCTGCCAGATTTTCAGGGATGCATATTCTTCACTTCACACTTGACTTTTGCAGTTCAAGCCCAGAGTCTCTTTTTCGTAAACGCCTCTGGAGAGCTTCTCTCGGTTCTTTGATCTCCATGTCTTCTCTCTGAAGCCACCTCCTGTCCTCACCCTGTTCAGGTTTCTCTTCTTCAGTTGCTCACAGGTCTGACTCTGCCAGCTGCCGTTCCTCATGGCTTCAGGATGGGTTTTAAACAATTCACTGGGATCACTGTCGTTAACTCATGACATGCGGCTGCTTCTGCCAGGTTGGCAGTTGTGCTTTCTGGTTGGTGGCGTTGTATTACTATTTGCCCCTTCAGTCAGCAAGAGACTGACTAGCACACACTTGTGAAGCCAGGAGGAGTATTTGAGGGAGGACCAAGTCTATAACAAGTTTGGTTGCTTTGTAGATGAACACAGTCCTAATGCTGCCCTTTGTTCCCTGCTTTGTAACCTTGTCACCATGGAAACCTTGGTGGAGGGGACCCTCACTGCAGAGTGGGGCAACTAGAAATTCATCTCCTGAGAACTTTGTGGTTTCCTGACTTGTTGGTTGCTAGGGGAGCCAAATAGCTCCTGCTATGCTTGCTGAAGTAGCCACATGGACCAGAATATTGTACTTGTGGAAAGGTATTGTTGAAGGCATTGGCCACCACAAGCACCCAGTCACCTGGCAAAGAGCCCATCAGAGGTTCTATTTGGATTCAGCTGCGAATCTGTGTTTGGCGCTCAGAAAGTGGCTGCTTGGACTGACTTTAGAGCAGGAGGTCAGGCCCTGGGGTGTGCCTTCCAACCTCCTGCACCTGTTCCTCCAGCCATCTGCCTGGCCTGGGTGGGAGAGACTACCTCCTTCTTCCTGGAGGGATGAGCCAGCAGGCTGAGCCTGCCCGACCCTAAACTTTTTCTTTCTAGCCTATTCTTTGTCTGGAGAAATCTTTCTCAAAACCTGCATGCACTTGCTCTCACACCCTAACACTGCCCTGATTCCTCAAAACCTGCATGCACTTGCTCTCACACCCTAACACTGCCCTGATTCCAAGTCTTGACGCCTCCTCCAGCCACGGTGGTCAGATGATCAGATGGAGCCTGATGCCTTCAAACATGCCTGTCCTATCTGTCCTATCTCTTCGGAAGCCCAAGGCCTGACAGCCTACTGCAGCCGGCTGTGTTCTCTTGGGTCCTTGTCTCTGATCCTCCCAACTAAGACCAGCATGCCTGGATCGCTCCGGAGGTGGCCCAGAAAGGCTATATCTCCTCCTCGTGCTCAACAGGGAGGCAGGACGCCGTGGAAAGGGAGGGAGGAGCCAGGTGCCGTAGCACCGGAGCAGACCTGAATGAGGCCTGGGGCCCGGAGCTGCGGGCAAGGGCACAGGGCCTGGAGCCCCAGGACACCACCCGCCCTTGCCGCCCCCCTGATGCCACACCAGTTACCTCCTTGAAGCAGATGCAGCACTTGCAGAAGCACAGGCGGGAGCAGGGGTGGATCCTAATCATCACCTTCCCGGTCTTCTTGGCCTTGGCTGCGTAGAAGAGTCGGCCCCGCATGGCATGGCGCCTGCCAGCGGCGGACGAGGGGGAAGGACCTTCCAGTCAGGGGCCAGCAGAGCCCCATCCTCCCCTTCTACCCTACCCCAGACCCTGGAAGGCCCTGCTGTGGGCTCACCTCTGATCATCCAAGTCGATCAAGTTCTTGACGTCATAGCAGAAGTGGACTCTGGTCACTATGCACCCTGGATAGGCTTCACTACAGCCACAAACATGGATGCTGAGTCAGCTTGTGGGGTCGGGGATGTGCCGTCCCTACCCCTCCCCCCTGCCCCCCGCCACAGCCCATGAGGCTGGGCGGCTCATCTGCCTGGGGCTCCCGGATGGGAGAGTCCATACTTGCTCCTAAGGCCAAACTTCAGGGTTTGAACCCTGATAATCTGAGAGCTGCCGAATCCTGCCTACAGGACTCAGAATAGGGCAGGGGACAGAGCTCCAGCTGCTGGGGAGCCCAGCAGAGAGCTGCTCACATAGAGATAATTTGCTCTGTGGACAGGGTCCCTGGGGCCAGGAACTTCGGGTCACAAATGAGGCCTCAAGATGATCTGCTCTAAATAGCTGTGGTCCAGGGGCTCCCTGGACTCAGCAGTCAGAGCAGCAGAGGAAAGGGAAATTAGCATCACTCACATCATGCATGCCACACAGGGAACCCCTGACGTCAGAAACCCAGCTCTAGCACCAGTGGCCCTGCCCATTCTAAAAAGCCAATCATGAGCCGAGCCCAGGGAGAGCCACCATCTGGGCTGTCCCTAGCCCTACCATCCTGTGCCAACCCACTACCACCTGAGGACCCAGGCAGGGCTACCAGGAGGAGGCCACCCATGCCCCGGCCCACCCCGGCCACTTACTGGAAATGCTTAATGATGATTTCTGGGTCTTCGATGTCTGTGGGCACATAGGTGATCATTAGTGTCCTTGTGACCTGGGTGGGAAGGGTACATGGAGAAAGAAGACTGTGCTTGCATAGGAATTCTAGATATCGGGGTCTTCTGGTGGCCGGGGGCTTCTGCTCACGCCAGGCTGCCCGATGCCCAGTGCCTCCTGTGAGTAAGCCACGTGCCAGCTTCCCCCGCCTGTGGTGTGCCAGCTGAGCCCGGCAGCTCTGAGGTCAGCAAACTGTCCTCTGTTATTGTCTGTGCCCTGACGTGGGCCCCCTGCCATGGGCGTCGTGGGTAAGAGAGGGAGGGCGGCAGGCTGTAGACGGGGCCAGGGTGGAGGACCGGAGCACATGAGTGGGAAGGGCTGCCCACGATGATTTTTGGTCTCCCTGCAACGGCCACTGTTCCGGCGTAAAGCCCCACGTCGCCAGGGAAATCCCTAACATGATGCTGGCCGGGGGAGTTGGGAGGTGAGCAAGGCTCTGGGGCGAGCTTCCCCTAGACTTAATACTTCATTCTGTGACTGGGAAATGTCTTCCTGAGCCATCACCTTCAAGATGACAGTCTAGTATACCATGCTAAAGATTCAGGGCTCTTGGCAGATGCCACTGGTGACAACAGGGAAAACTGAAGTAGCCGTGTCCAGGCTGGTCAGAGGAGACGAAGCCACCACGCTTGGCAGGCTGAGCGTTCGGGGCCACTTTTCAGGGTATGTGCATTTCCACTCTGGGCTGGCTAAAGGGAATGAGTCCTTTCGGGTGGACGGCCCCCAAGAGCTGACCCCACCCACCCCACTGAACCTCTGAGAGGCTGAGAAAGGGAGCCAAGATGTCACCCTCATCGTCACTGCTGCCCTTCCCCATCAGAGCATGGGCGCTGGGCCAGACAGGTGGCACTGCCAGTACCTGCCACAGGCATTCATCTCTGCATACCAAAGGTACCGCCTGCTGCAAACCCTGAGACTGCCCAGTGCTCCTTCCTGGCCTTGCAGGTGTGTCTGGCTCGTGTGCAGGGCAAGAAGTAGGGAGTTAAAGCCCCCAAATGCAGCCCCCAACCAGCAGTGGACATGGAGTCTGTGGGAAAATACCCCCGAGGGCTCACCTCTAGGCTGGGAAAATTCTGGGGCATGTGATCCACACCGGCCCCCCTGGGGTTGTGCCCACCACAGCAAGCTGTCACTCAGCAAGCCCTGTGTTGGCTGCCTTCTCCTCCCCATCTCACTTCCCTAGTCCCCTGCTGGCCTTTTCCAAGACCATCTCCCAAATAAATGAATGCTACTCAATCCTTGTCTCAGGGCCTGCCTGGGCAGTGGGTGGGGTCACCCAAACTGAGACAGTGGGGTGTACAGGATAGGACAGGGGGTCTCTGACCTCAGGGAGATGTGGGAGGGCAGGGCACAGGCCTAGCTGGTGTGTGCAGGGCCAGGCAAAATATCCACCCAGCAGTCAGCAGGGAGCCCTGGCCACTCCAGAAGTCCCCCCACCCACCCCACCCCTGCCAGGGGCTTGTTAATGCTTTAGTTCATGGATGGCAGGAGGTCCAGGGTCCCTGGGGAGGGGCCAGGGCAGCAGAGGTGCAGGGATGGGGCTTCCTGGGCAGCAGCTACTTGCCAACCAGTTTGGAAAGTTTCAGTGGGGTGGGGGTGGGGCTGGAGAGGTGGGGGCAGGTGATTGTCCTCCAGGGCCAAGAGGAGGATTTGGCCCCTGCTCAGGGGGATCCCCCAGGATGTACCACGGTGGGACTCCCGGGAAGGCTGGGAGAGGATGGCCTGGCCGGGAGGGGCTCCGGCCGGGACGGGCCACCCTGCTAGTGCTGCATTTACTCACCTTGTGGCTCTTCTTGGGGGCAAACCCCATGGCGTGATGGGTCATGAATATGAAGTTGGTGATGAAGTACAGGAAAGACAGGAGGCTGTGCAGCCACAGGAGCTTGCTCCTGCAGGGAGAAGCGGCAGCATGAGGGGCGCCTGCGCGGCAGACCGCGGGCATCACAGAGCCCACCGTACCGCCCCCAGGCCCCCTCCCACCCCACACAGACCCCCAGACCCCCTCTCCAACCCCTTAGTCTTCCTGGATCCCCTGCCACCCCACAAGCAGCCTTCTCAGGGCCACCTTCTTGGGTCCAGACACTCAGGTACCTTGGACAGGGCATCAGTGGGGGGGGCAGGGCGCCCTAGCTAATAAGCGCTAGCACTTATTGAGCGCTTACTGTGTGCCAGATCCGGGGTGGGCCTAAGTCCTGTACGTGCATTTGTTCATTAGATCCCCACAGCCATGCACAGTAGGACTGCGATTATCTTCATGTCACCCACAGGTAAATGAGGATGGAGTGGGTAAGTGACTCCCATGGTCACTCATAGCAGTGGCAGGGCCGGGAGGTGAACCAGAGCTGCGGCAGCACTGAGACCCTTCCCCAGACATCACCCTGCCAGTGCCGGTGCTGCGCCCAGCGGGCCAGGTGACGAGGGCCCCGGGGTCACGTGCAGGCCTGGAGGGAGGAGGGCCAGACAATTTGCTATGCCTCCCCTGGGGTAGGAAGAGTGGTGGCACTTGGGCCACATTTGCCACCCTGCTTTGGACTCACATGATGCTGTCCCAAGGCATCTGGCCAGGATTACTGTTCGGAAATCGGGCCCGCCTTACTTGGTGTGGGTTGAGAAAGCAAGGCCCACCTCGCTTCAAAACAACTGCCCCGCTCCCTGGCCCAGGCCTGACACTCCACATGCCACCCCATCGAGCTCCATGTCTCGGTCCTCCATTTCCACAGAGGGGCAAGGCTACATGGTCTCTGAGGAACGTTCCAGCTCTCTGCCAGTGTGGATGCATGGATATCTAAGGCTCTTTGCTGCGCTATTAGAATTCACTTTCTCTTGCTGAGGCGTGGGCACCTGAGGCCTGCAACGGGTGCAGGGAAGGCGCCAGCGGCCCTGCTCTGGCCGGCAGCCCCCAGGGAGGAGCTGGCCGAGAGGGGAGGCGAAAGGATGCCGTGGTCCCGCTCTGCTGATCGCAGAGTTTCGGCGAAGCCAGTCTGGTCCAAGGAATGTCGCACGAATGCAGGGGGCAGAGGGGCAGGGGTGGGGAGCAGAGCGTGGCAGGGGTGTGTGAACCCCACTCACACTTGCTGAAACTGCTTCTGCAGCTTCGCCAGGAAGTCGGCAAAGCCTGGTCCAGACACCTCGTGGGCCTCAGCAGGGCCACATCTGGCTCGGCACAAATTGATGTGGCTGCCCATCGGCTGATGCTAAAACCCACGGGTTCCTGGGCTGCGAGGGGGAGGGGCTTAGCGACCATGACCAACAGCCCTTCCCCCCCTGCGGACATGGACGAGGACCAAGGCTCAGAGCTGATGGGGCGCTACCCCAGATCCAGGGCAGCGTGGGCAGAGGTGGGCATGGGCCCAAGTCCCCAATGCTTCTGTCTGACGCCGCGTCAGAGTGGGAGACTGTCAGGTCATGACTCAGAAACTTAGCTATGTGAGACTGGCCCGAACCTACAGGCAGGCAGGGGACACCATCTCAAACCTCTCTGGGGACAGGGTCCCTGCCTCTCCGGAGCTGGGCCTCCTAAGCAACTAGCACCACTTCTCCACCTCTTTAGGAGTGGCGGTTTGGGCAGTTTCACCATGACAGGTGAGGACGTGGAGGCACCAGGAGTCCCACCCCACCCCACGGATGCAGCTCTGGCATCCGACTCGGGGCCTGGGCTCCCGAAAACGGCTTTTCTCATCAGCAAAGCGGTGCCCGTGTTGCGGACCGACACCGTGGACCTCTCCCCACCAACGCCCCCCGCCAGCGGAACGGGAGGTAAGAAGATCAGGTACCTACTCTGTGGAGACATTGACAATGGTGGTCCGCCCAAAGTGACTATTCCAGTCTGAAAGAGAAGAAAGTTGCCGACTTTGAGCCTGGCTCTTTGATGGCTGTGGGGGCCAGAATTCAGGGTTCCTGGATGAAAGATGCCTGGGGTCTCGAGATGCTTTCCTATGTCCTGCTCTTCCTTCCAGGGCCCCAGAGCTGGTCCCCAGCTTCCGACAAAACCTGAGAAGCCCCATCTGCCTGGCACTGCTGACTGGGACCCTCAGAGGGAACGTGAGACCAAGTCTTTGCATGGCATCTCCAACAACTGGCACATAATAGACACCCAGTGTTTGCGTTTTGAAGGAACCGGCTATCCGGCCATGGGCAGAATGTTGGAATTAGCAACACTATCACCATTGGCAATGTCCAAAAATGTGACCCTGCTTCATTCGAACAGAGTAAATCCTTCTGGCTAAGTATATCAGTTTGTTGGTTCAAACAGCTCACTAGCTCCGAGAATCAGAAAGACAGGACTCAGATGGCATTTACTCTGGTAGTGGAATTTGGTGGCACAGACGTTCAATGTGCTACACTGAATTAATTAAGGTCTACCTCTGGCTGAAGAGAAACCAGTAGAAACCTGAGGCTTCATGGTACATCTGGCCGCCACCTGGGCGTTGAAGGTGCTATTCTGCACCGCCCAGCCTCCCTACGGCTCCGTCCATCCTCATGATTCTAGGGGCAACACTGGCAGATGCCATTCATTGAGCACCTACTGTGTTCCTGCCACTGCGCTAGGCACTTTGCACACTATCTCCAGTCCCCAAGACAGCTGAGGAAACCAAGGCCTAGAAAGCCTGATTGGCCAAATATAAGAGTCAATCATTTGCTAGCTTGGGCAAAGGTATTTTCTGGTGAGCAGGTGTGGGCAAAGGTAAGGAGCCAAGATTTTTCTGTCTTCAAAGCCAAACCATCATCCACGGTGCTGTTTTGTCAAAAGAACTTACCCTGTTCCAGTAAGTGTGGGTAGAAGCCCCATGAGACAAATTCTACACTTACAGTGCTGTGTCCATCACAGGGGGTCCAGGGACCTATGTAGTGGGTCACATGTCCCAAAAGGGGCTCCCTGCACACCTGGCCGGGTGCGGCACAGGGACGCGAATAAACATTGAGCTCCAGACTAAATGAATACTGCACGCCTGCTACGTGCCAGGCCCTGGGCCAAACTGGTGACCAAGGAGGGACCGTCTCCAGTGCCCACGTGAGAGAACTGCGCCTGGCTCGTCTAAGGTCACAGCACAACGAGCTTCCAGAGGGAGGACTGAAATCCAGATTCCTGGCCCTCCCAGCTCTGTCTGGCCTCCCCGGCTGCCTCCTAGGTCTTGCAGCCAGGCCCCAGGCCCGCCGAGCTCTGCCTACCCAGGACGTTCCCCGTGTAGTTGATGGGCAGGACGATGCCCAGGGAGGGGATGCAGACGACGAGCATGAAGATGATGAGGTGGTACTGGAACGTGATGTAGATGCGCGCGTCATCCCCGCACTTGCTGACCAGATCCTCGTCCCTGCAAGACACACACAGATGGGGACGTGCCTCGGGAGGCCTCGCGGCCACAGCTTACGCCAGGGGCAGGTGGAGGAAAAGGAGCGAAGATCATCCCCTCACCCCCAAGTTTTGAGTTTTTGGAAAGGATCGCCCTTCTTCTCAAAGCCTCTGTTATGCTTCAAGTGCATTTGGCTGAACTTCCCAGACATATCCAGGTAGAGGCTGTGTTACAGACACACACTTAGGGGCCGGGAGCGCTTTCGAAATCCAGCATTCTTTCATCCTTTCATTACTTCTTCGGACGTGTTTTGAGTGCTTGCTATGGTGCGGGCATCAGACAAAGCACTGGTGATATTGAGAAACACCTTATTTTTATGTTCTTGTTTATTTTTGAGACAGAGTCTCACTTCTGTTGCCCAGGCTAGAGTGAGTGCCGTGGCGTCAGCCTAGCTCACAGCAACCTCAAACTCCTGGGCTCAAGCAATCCTCCTGCCTCAGCCTCCCAAGTAGCTGGGACTACAGGCATGTGCCACCATGCCCAGCTAACTTTTTTTATATGTGTGTGTGTGTATATATATATACATATATATATTTAGTTAGCCAATTAATTTCTTTCTATTTATAGTAGAGACGGGGTCTCGCTCTTGCTTAGGCTGGTCTCGAACTCCTGACCTTGAGCAATCCACCCACCTCGGCCTCCCAGAGTGCTAGGATTACAGGCATGAGTCACCATGCCCGGCCCACCTTATTTTTAAAAGTTGCTTAATTTCTTAAATTAAAAAGGAATACCTGAACACCGTAATGAGACATCACTCCACATTGCCAGACTGACCAAAGTTAGAAAGTTGGACAACACCAAGTGCTGGCAAAGGCACGGGGCACTGGGAGCTCCCTGCTCTCACAGGTGTCTACACTGGCCCAGCCACGCTGGGGACAGTTGGCATTATCTACTGAAATTGAACACATTGATGAGCTAACTATTCCACTCCTAGGTTTATACCCAATGGAAATACATGACATGTGCATTGAGAGACATGTGTGAGAATCTCATAGATGCATTATTTGCAACATCCTGAAACTGGAAACAACATAAATGTCTATCAAAGGTGAAATGGAGGCCGAGTGTGGTGGCTCACGCCTGTAATCCTAGCATTCTGGGAGGCCGAAGGCGGGAGAATCGTTTGAGCTCAGGAGTTCGAGTCCATTCTGAGCAAGAGCGAGACCCTGTCTCTACTAAAAATAGAAAGAAATTAGCCAAACAACTAAAAATAGGACAAAAAAATTAGCCGGGCATGGTGGCAAATGCCTGTAGTCCCAGCTACTCGGGAGGCTGAGGCAGCAGGATTGCTTGAGCCCAGGAGTTTGAGGTTGCTGTGAGCTAGGCTGACACCATGGCACTCTAGCTGGGGTGACAGAGTGAGATTCTGTCTCAAAAAAAAAAATGGACTGTGAGATATATATATATACATATTTATATATATATATAAAAGAAATAAAACACTAACAGCAATAAAAATGAATAGCAGAACCTCACAAACACGATGATGAGTTACAGATGCCGGCCACAGATGAAACATGCTGTATAATTTTATATAGAAAGCTCAAACATAGACAATACTGAACTACAGAGTTAGAAGTCAGAATGCTGGCTACCCTTGGCTGGGGAGGGGCTGGAGCGGGGGCGGGAACAGGCGGTGTCGGCGATATTCTAATTGTGGACCAGCGTGGTGGTGGCGGCGTAGGTTTTGCTTTGGGATCATTGAGCTGCACATTTGTTTTGTGCACTTTTCTGTATGTTTTATGCCTCAATTTAAAAAATCTAAAAGCAACACATGCTTATAGAAACTGTGGAAAATACAAAAGAAGAAAATCATTCATCTACAATCACAACAAACCTAAGACAATGACTACTAAGCAGTTGAGTTAATTTCCTTTAGTTACTTGTGCTTTTACTTGGTGACATAGTTATAAACAGCATTTGATATATTGCTCTGTTGCTTGGAATTTAATCTTAAGCCATTTCTGGCCATTTTACATAATGGTGATCATGGCGTCATTTCAGGATCACCGACCGGCTCATGCCCAGGCCCTGCGGGCCTCCTCGCTGCACAGGTGGCAGTTTCACAGCTTACCCACCCTTCCCCTCTGGTCAAGCTTGTAGGTTAGATGCAACTTTTAGCATCCAGCCCAGGATTTAGATTTAGTTTAAAAACAACACTACAAAAAGCACATCTTCAAAATTTTTAATGACCCCATGTAGGGAAGTATTTAGAATTCTTTTTTTGTTTGTTTGTTTGAGACAGGGTCTTGCCCTGTCTCCCAGGCTAGAGTGCGGTGGTGTCGTCATAGCTCACAGCAACCCCAAACTCCTGGGCTCAAGAAATCCTCCTGCCTCCGCCTCCCAAGTAGCTGGGCCTACAGGGGTGCACCACTGGGCCTGGCAAGAGCTCTTGGTTTTTAACTTCAAGCAGCTAAAACGCTTCCTGCTCTGGACTCGAGAATTAAATGCCAAGCATCGGGGGCTGAGAACTGAGAGCCAGGGAAGAGGGGCGCACCTGCGGCGGGTGTGGCTGCCGGATCTGGTCTGTGACAGCACAGCACGGTTTGGGGCAGGGTGAGGTGCCCGACCGTCCACTCGGGTGGAGAGAACAGAGGGTGGATAAGATCACAGAATTTCCTTCCCAGGCCACAATTCCTGTCTCCACCACTGGGTCCATTACCGTTTCCACCGTTCTTTAAAGTGCGCCCTCCTGGACCTCCCAGCCAATCACCCTTCCTCCTGCTCACAACCAATTCTCCGTCTGGGCTCTCATCTCTTCCCTCCCTCTACCCCCTCCTGAGGAGGTGCTGCACACACTGTCCTTCCTTTGACGTCCTTTTCTCTCTGCGCCCACCCACCCTTCCTGCCCTTAAACTATATAACCAGGTTCAAGTGCTTGGCTGCTTGCTCTAGAATAAAACAAGTCACGCCTCAAGCATCTGCACTCCCTGATCTTGTCCCTCACCTGTTTCTCCTCAAGTTCCCTCCGATATCCTTATTTCCCTCCTTCCACCCGCCTCTTGAGAAGGTGACCTTCCTTCTCTGCCTCTGCTTCCTGGACGTCCCCTTGCCCTGGACTTGCTGTTCGATGTCCTCTCCTTGGCTCTCCTTCCACTCAACCTCTGCAGCCCTGGAGGCCCTGCCAGCCCTCCCTGGAGCCTCGTCCTTGCCTGGCTTCAGGGATCCCATGCCCCAGAGGACTCCTCTTCTTCCTCCTGCCTGCTTGTGGCCCTCCCTTGGGCCTTTTCTGACCTTGCCTCCTTGGATGACCCATCCGCTCCCATGACTGCAACTATGACCTCTCTGCACCCATCTCCCACGTCTAACTCTCTAGCTCTGACTTTTCTCCTGGGCTTTAATCCTGTTTTTCCACAGCTTGCTGGATAACTCACATGGTGGCCCTGACATCTCATTATTTTGTGTTTAATAATAGTATTAGCAATGGCATTACTATCCTCCCCAGAAACCAGGCCCCCATTTCTCCTTCTTTCTTACCCAGGCCACACCCTGCTGGCTGGGGCCCTGTGATCTCCCTCCCATCTGTCCCCTCCCATGGTTTCCCTGGTCACTGCCCCAGTTCAAGTCACCGCCACCTCCCACCCTGACCACTGGAGTAGCCTCCTTAGCTGCTCACCTTGACCTTGGACTTTCCCAACTACTATTCTCCCCCATACACTTGCCTATACACAGATACCATCCTGAGTTTCCTGCTCAAAAATACCACTTCATTCCCTACTGTCGCTAGATCAAAGTCCACGATTCTCAGCATGGCAGTCAAGGCGCCAGCTTCCAGACCAATATTTTTCCCTCCCCACCAACCAGGTCTAGACACACCAGATTCGCCATTTCTGGACAATCCCTCCCTACTCAACTCTGCAACAGTCTTTTGCTCACATACTCCTTTATTTTTCATGTGCTTTCCTCATCGCACCTGTTGAAATTCTTCCTGTCCTTCAAGGCCCAGCTCAAAACTACACCTTTCCTGAACCCCGCGGCGAGAATTCGTTTCTCTCTTTCCCAAATGCCCTTCCCAGAGCAATAATAACCTCACCGTTAGGAAAGCTATGTAGGGAGTCTTGTTAACCTTTGTTTCTCCAAAAATGGGTTTGTGCAGGGGACTCTGGACGACTTGTCCCCGCTCAGTGAATGCATTCAGCCATCTTCCACGACACTGCTCTCACGGGGTGCCGGACACACAGTGCCATGCCCTGCCTTCCCGCCTTCCCAGACAATAGGCTCCCGATGGAAGACCCTCCCCGAAAGGAGCCTTTGGGTGGAGGGGTGGGGGTTTGAAGGATGGCCGGGGCAGGGCAGATGGGGCATATTCAGGGAGAGCAGGCAGCGTGCAGGGCTCTGAGGTGGAGACAGAGCCGTGTGCACAGCTGCACGCATGGACGAGTGTGCGAGTGTGCACGTGTGTACACACATGCAGTGGGAATGCGGAGTTCCGAGAAGCTATGCTCAGCTGAAGCATCTGGCTGGTGGTGGGGGACCAGGAGAAAGTGGGTGACGCGGGGTCTCCTTGCCTGCCAAGTGGGGCAAATGGCAGAAAGAGCCAGAAGGTGGGGAGGGGGGAGGTGAGTGCCGTCCCTCTGCAATCCGGGCCAAGAGGGGAAGCCTGTCCTCCTGCCCGATGTTTTTGCTCCCTCTGGACAAACACGATGAATGATGTTCACAGACATCAAGCCTGTGGCCCACAGGGGATTTCTTTTCCCTGGGGTGGCATTCACAGAAGCATTTTCACAAGCTTCCTGTTACGAGTGGTTCTTCCCTGCGGGCTGTGGCAGAGATAACATGGGCGGTGGGCCATGTCCAGGTCCCATGTCACCAGCTGTCACCCAGGAAAGCGTCGCCTGCCTGTGCCAGGCCCAGGTGGTGGGTGGGGAGTCGGGGCTGTGCCTGTCCCTGGGCTGGGGGCTGCTAATTCTGCCAGGAGATGCCGCAGCCCCGTCTCTAAGCCCCAGGCAACACCGTCACAAGCTCTGGGAGCTCAGGCACTTACCTCATGGTGACGCTGTTGATGAACCAGGAACAGAAGCCCTGAGACAAAAGGAGAGAAATGTGAGAAAACCCAGGCCCCGGCAGCCTGTGGGTCACCGAGGCAGCTGCTGCGTCTCCTCCCAGGAAAGAGCCTGAAGGCTTGTTCTGGAACCAGCGGTGACTGTTGAAGGGGAGGTTTCCCCACAAGTGAGTGGACATCTCTGCCGTCCTGTTACAGAAAAGGGAGCCTGGAGGGTGGGCCTCGGACGCAGGGGGAGAAGGGACTCCACTGCTTCCCGTCCATCCCTTGGCCCTGGCTGCCTCCTTCTGGGAGACGCCCCTCCCAGGATGCGGGTGGTCCAGCGGTTGTCCACCAGCTGCCTCCAGGGATTGGCGGGCCAATGGGAACAGGACCGAAGTGGGGCCAGTTAAAATTCCCTTACGGGGTCTGAGATGGATGTTGGGGAAGGGGAGTGTCTCTCTCTCTCTCTCTGAGTTCCTGCACCTTGGTAAACACCACAAAGCCTAGAGCTGCTGGTGCCATCTTTGATGCCACGTGCAGACAGCTTGTCTGAGAAAAAAAGCCAGTTCAGCAGGGAAAGGACCAGAGAGGGGGATCCTGGTGGCACCACTGGACTTCCTGAATCTAGCTATGCCTGAAGCAGTCACTTTTCTTAGATTTCCCCACACTTGAGCCACAAATAACTCTTCTGTCTTAAAACTAGTCTGAGCTGGGTTTCTTCTCTTGCATCTGAGGGTCCTGTCCTGTTGGGGAAAGGTGGCCGTGGCCACGGGGAGCTTGGTGGGGTCTAGAGAGTCAGCTTGGGAAGGGTGTGCGTGAGGGTGGGCTGGGCCCGTGGCCATAAAAGCTGCCAGACCTGGAGCTGGTTAAGTTACCCTGGTGCACGCTCCCTTCTGGGGTTCCAGGGGGCTTAGCGGGCCCTTGGACAAGGCTGTAGCTCTTGATTGGCCTGATTGGGGTCACGTGTTATTTCTGTGACCCAGGCAGGCCCACTTAAATGACAGTCCCCCAGAACCACATGGACTGGGGGAGGGATGTTTCCCAAAAGGAAGCCACGAGGACAGGCAAAGAAGAAACAGGAGTCCCTTGTCCCCTTCGGCAGAAGGCCCACCTTCTAAGTCCCCTTCCCTGTGCCAGGTTGACGGACAGTGGGAATGGCCGCCGGGGGTGTTCCCTGCAGGGCACCACTTCTCCAGCTCTGTCCTGGGGAGCTAAATTAGGAGCAGCTGCTCAGGTATGAGTCAGAGCAATGAAGGGCAACAGCATGGCGCTGGCAGCGGCGACGGGGACCATCCCAGGGAGGGGCGATTGCTGGTTAAGGCCTCTCAGCCCCGAGGCCCCCTGCACGGGAAGTCTCTCCCGCCCACCTCGGCAAACACAGGTCAGGTCATCAAGGGAACAAGGTTTCTCCACAGCCCCTCGAGTTTAGGCACAGCTAGGACACACCCCCGGGAACGCGCTGCGGCCCCTTCCTCGACAGGAGCACTGGCGTGTGCGGCCATAGACACGCGACAGATCCCACAGGAAAGGGCAGAAGCCCTCAGTCCCAGTGTGGCCCATGTGCCCGGGACATCGCACAGACATGGGAGCCTGTGTGACCCATCCCTCTCCCTTCCAGCCATGCCGTGCCACAACACCACATTACACCACAGCACGGGCCCACACCGCACACACACACCCACACACGACCACAATGACACACACCACGACACCACTACACCCGCACACCACACATTGCCACACACCACACACACCACACACCACACACACCACACACCACCAACACACCACACACACCAGCCACACACACACCACACCACACACCACAACACACACACACCACACACACCACACACACACCACGCCACCACACACCACAACACACCACAAACATCACCACACACACACCACACACCACACACGCCACACACGCCACACACCACACACACCACACACATCAACAACCGACACACGCCACACCCACGACACCGCCACACATGCACACCCACACCAGGGCCCACACACCTCACACACACACCAACTAACACCAACCACACACACCACACCCACACACACACACACACACGGGCAGGCACTACACACCACACAGCCGACACAGCGCCACCACACGAGCACGGAACCCGAACTCACACACAGCACACCGACACGACACGCACGACCCACCACAAAACCCACCCACACATTCACACACAGCCACACACAACTGACACACACCACGCACCACACACACACGACCCACACACCACACCACACCACGACGACACCAACCACACAGGACCACACACACACGACACACACCACACACGCACCACCCGACACCACACACACACCACACACCGACACCACACTACACACCACAGCACACGACATACCGCCCCACCGACACCACACACACCACATACACACCCCCAACACATCACACACACACACACCACACACACCACACACCACACACACCCTACACACACCCCACACACACCCCACACACCACACACCACACACACACCACACACATTACACACACCACACACACCACACACCACCACACACACACACCCCCACACCACACACACACCACACATACCACACAACCACACACACCACACAAACCACACAAACGCACACACACACATATACCACACACCACACATACCATACACACCACACACCACACACACACCACACACAGCACACACACACCAACACCACACACACCCCCAAACACACCCCCCCACACAGCACACACACACACACCACACACACACACACGCACACACACCACACACACGCACACACCACACACACACCACACACACGCGCACACACACACCACACATACCACACACTGCACACACACACATACACACTCCCTGTGCCTACGCTGCAGCTCTGCAGGCACAAACCATCCCGAGAACCCAGCAGCTGAGCAGCAGCGTGAGGGGCAGACATCACGTCCCCTCTTCTCCTGCCCCCACCAGGACTAGGCTCCGTGGATGAGACAGTGACAGCGGTCTGGTCCTGGGCCTACTCGGTCGCCTGTCACCCTCATCCCTGCCACGTGGGGGTAACATAGCTGCCCAGCCCGGCTCGGGCACCATGGCGAGACCGTTTGCTCTGCCACACTGCCCAGCCCTGGCCAAGGCCCCACCGCCGGGCTGGACACGTGGGCTGCCTCTCTGCACTCTCCCCTCCTCGTCTAATTCAACTGCAGCCCTCTTCGGCTTGACCTCCCCCCTGCTGCCGTAATGGTTTATCTTCTTAGCTTTTTAAAAATAAAATGATCTTTCTGTCATTGTAAAAGGGGGAACAAAGCACATCAAAGCGATGTTTCTAAAGGTTAACCCGAGAGCCACCTTGCAAGGCAGGTGTTGCTGTCCTCATTCTACCAATGAAGCCTCCGAGAGAAGACGCCACACCTTGTCCAGGGCAGATCCTGGCAAGCACAGGGCCCAGTCTCTCGAGGGCTGATAGAGCAGGAATATGGTGCTCCTTACCGCAGCCAACGCACATGCACCAGATGCTAATTACGGGACAGGCTGGCCTGGATGCCGGGCTGCAGGGGTGACCGAATCCAAGCTCGGCGCCTGCTCTCACGGGGGGAGGCAGACACACCGGACTGAGCGTGCAGACGAGGGCTCCGAGGCAGGATTAAGCACGTTAAAGAAGAGGAATGCATTTTCCTGAGCATGTGACAAAAGAGCGGACCCACGCGGGGTGGTCAGGGCTCCCCGGGGAAGTGGCGCTTAAGGTGAGATCTGAACAAAGGATGGGTGACTCGGAGCAGGGCCACTGGGGAGGGGGAGAGGGACGAGCCTGGGACGGGGCCCGGTGGAGAGGAGGTGGCACCTGGAGGAGCTGGACAGTGGCCATCATGGCGGGGCTGGGGAGCAGGGAGGGGAGAGAGAGGCTGGACAGGAGCACAGCAGACCAACCCGTGGGCCACAGCTAGGCATCTGCAGTTCGCTCCAAGGGTATTAGGAAGACATGGAAGGTTTATGCAGAGGAATCTGTGTCCCCATTCATGGGGACCGCTCTGAATGCAGGTGCAAAATGGACGAGGTAGGTCAGTTAGAGCCACTGCAGTCATCCCAGCAGAAGACTGACGGAGGCTGGGCTGGTGGGATGTGGGAGGAACAGAGACACAAAACGGAGGTGAAAGCAGCACAGCTGGGTAACAGACTGGCCATGCTCAGGGGCCCGGGCGAGAGCAGGATGGTGGGGAAGAGTCCGTGCCCAGGAGCCTGAGAACAGGGGGGTCGGCAGGGATCATGGAATGTTCTGGACCTATTGAATCCCAAATGCCTTTACCATGTCCACGTGGAGACAGTCTGAAGGCATTGGATGACTGGGGCTAGAGCCCGGAGAAAGAGGTGGCTGGAGACTAGAAGTGTCAGTGTAGCGAGGGCAAGTGCGGTTGTGAGTGTGGGTGTCAGGAGAGTTGGAGATTGGAGAAGGGAAGAAAAACGACGTTACCAAAAGTCTCTCTTAGATATTCTAATCAGTTAACACTTACTGGGCTCCCCAGGAGGTAGGTGTGGTTAATAGCTCCATCTTTCAGATGGGGAAACTGAGTCTCGGGAGGCTGAGGAGTTTGCCCGAGATCACACTTCTGGAAGGGGCTGAGTCTGGCTGACTGCAAAGCCTCAGAGTCCCAGCCGTGCTCCTTCCTGGCCGCACCACCACTGCCTGCCCAGGGACCCCCTCCCACCCCACCCCCCGGGGGGCCCAAACCACTTCCGGCACTCACCTTGTCCCTGCGTTCCATCTCCAAAGACATCTCCGAGGGAGAAGTCTTCTCGCTCTGCTCCCCGTAGATCAGTGAGGTCAGGCTGCCAGCCAGGGAAGGTGGCAGAGAGGCAGAAAAGGAAAGAAAAGGCCTCAGACGCCTGCCTTGCTGCCCGTCTGCTCCCTGGGCTGCAGGCGTGCCCCAGCTCCTGTGCTGAGCCCACGGCTCGGGGATGGACCGCATTGCCCCCGTTGCCAGGTGCACACCACACCCTGGGAGTCCAGCCACGGGATCCAGAAAGTCTGATGCCCGAGAAAAGAGTGCCCTCGTGCCCAGACATGGCTGCCCTCCAAGTCTCCTCCTAAGGGAGGGCAGAGCAGGGGCAGGGGATGGTGCTGAGAAGCCACCTGCTGACGAGAGGCCTGCTGCAGCTGACCCGGCAGAGCCATGTCCTAGTCCTGGTGGGGGGCAGGGCACATCTTCCCCATGGGAGTAAGCAGCTCCCCCCCCTGGCCCCCTCACCTGTCATTGTGTATCAGCAGAGCCAGGCGCCCGTAGTCCCATGCAGCTTTTCGGAGGAAGGAGTAAACCACAAGGATGATCTACAGGGCAGGAAAAGCCATATGAGGCAGGAGAGTCCACGGGTACCTTCCCTGTGGCCAGCCCCCTGCATTCCCAAGGGGGAGACCCTGTCCCTGAGGTCCCCAGAGAGCCCCCCTAGAAGGTGAGCTCTGCCAGGGTAGGGCCCTTTCAGCTCTGCACCAGCAGCTTCCGGGCACAGAGTACTGGGTACTCAGGGGGTTGAAGGTAGGAGCTAATGGCGTGTTTAGAACTTGGGACAAGCATGCCCATTGAACATCAGAAAAAGGAAAGACAAGGGAGGCCCAAGAGTGCCAGCCAGGTAGACCTTGGGACAACAATGCACGGAAGAGAATCCCAGGAATTCTGCCTGTTCTTCCAGCCCCTTGTCCCTGAGGCCCCCACCCAGGCCACCCTGGGCAGGACTGACATTCAGGCAAGTTTGTGTCACTGTGGCTGGTGTCCATTTGGGGTGCTGGGGCCCCCACTGTATCCACTGTGAAAGTTTAACCGTCCACCCCTGCAGGGCTCAGGACTCACCAACGACAAGATGATGTTGAGGAACAGCACGGTGGGGACACCCCCGAAGGGCTGGCCCTGCAGGACCGTGTTCCGGGACTGGAAGCACTCGTCCACCGACATGTTCCTCAGCTTTCCCACCACGCTCAGGTTGTGTGGTGAGGCAGGCATCCTGGAAGGCTCCCTGGGGAACAGAGGGGTCTCCGGGTCAGACGCAAGGACTCCCCCACATCTTGTGACACAGAGAAGTCTGCTGGGGAGCTGGGGGGATGGGCACTGGGCACACGGGCCAGGCTGGCCCCGATGCCAGGCTAGTGACCATTTGGTGACAGCAGGAGAGTCAGCCCGTGAGATGGCAGCCTTGTCCTGTAGAACAGCTGCCTCAAACCCAGGGCCTCGATGACAGAATAGCGAGAATCCCCTGGAGAGTTTTTATTTTTGTACCACTTGGTCTCTGCAAAAAGAGGTGTAAAATGCCATCCAAATGGGCCTTCTTATTTCCACGTTGGGAAGCTCTTCTTGTATAGAGATGAACAAAGATGGGTCAGGGCTCGCTGACGCCATCGCCACACTCCACGGCTCTCGGGTCCAGTTCTGGGTAAACGCAACAGCTCCTAAGGATGCAGGGTGCCCGGCACACCGCAGTGGCTCAGTCGAGGGCCTTGTCTCACCTGGGATTTGAACCAGGGAGCCCAGCATCTGCCCAGGGGCCCAAGCACTCTGGCAGGTCGCCAGCACAGAGCCCAGGGTCCCTGGAATCACGGCCCTCAGGCATGGGTTAGAGTGGGAACTGGAGGTGTCTGGCAGCTGCTTGAATCTATCTACAAGGTTGCACTGATCTCAAAAGGTCATTCATCTTGGCTCTAGACCTTGCCCTAGAAACTCTTCACTCCCATTCAAGAAAAAAGTAGACTCATTCATTAATTCATTCAGATATTTGGCGAGCAACTGCTTTGTGCCAGACTGATGCTGGTGATACACCAGTGAACAGGATAAGTAGAAATCCCTCCCTCGTGAGGTTCTGGCGGGGAGCGTGGAGGGATGAGGGTGAGGTGAGAGTGGTAAAGAGTGTGAAGGAGGATGCTGAGAGGGCGGCATCTCAGAGCAGGGACCGCAGAGCCACAGGGACAGAGCACTCTCAGCAGAGAAGGCCGCGGGGCGCAAGCTTGCCTGGAGTGCTGGGGGTCCCAGCAGGCCAGTGAGGCTAGGCAGGGCAGTGAGGGGCACGGGGGTGAGCCCCGGTGACGTGAAATGACTGGTTTTAAAGGAGTCCCTGTGCTCCTGGTAGGGAGACTGGGCGGGGTGCAGAGAATAGAGAGACAGTGGAAGGCTGGACGCCACCGGCAGCCCAGACTGCACTGGGAGCAGAGGGGGTGGGGACACGTGGGCAGAGTTGGGAAATATTTTGAACGTGAGGCCAACAAGATTTGCCAACAGATTAGACGGGGACTGTGGAAGAATGGAGGGAGCCAAGGATGACTCTCAGGTGTTTGGCCTGAGCCACTGGAGAAAGGGAGCTGCTGCTACCAGGCGGAGGAGACAGGGTGGGCACGTGTTCGGTCTGGGGCACGCCAAGCAGGGACGCAGCTGGACATGTGGGTCTGCAGTCCAGAAGAGAGACTGGAGACGAAAATGTGAAACCAAAGTCACCGGCACATAGATGATGCTTCGAGGCAAAGGCCTAGGCCACTGAAGGGCAGGAGGGGACATTCAGGAGCAGCCCTGGGCACGCCCACGCCCAGAGGTGGGGCAGGGGAGGGAAGCAGAGAAGGAGGCTGAGCAGGTGCAGCGGGGCAGGAGGAGAAGCAGGAGAAGGCGGTGCCTGGAGCCACATAAAGAAGAGGTTTCCAGGAGGAGGGAAGCACCAGTTGTGTTGATGTGGTCAGGAAAGATGACAACTGAGAATTAGCCATGGCCATCAGTAGGATTCCTGGAAGAGGTTCTAGAGAGGGTGACAGGAGAGCGGTCGGCATGAGTGGAAGGAGCAGTGGTTAAGACGGGAGAAACAGCACAGCGGGGACGGGAATGACCCAGTAGAAAGCAGGCCTTGGGGATGTGCGAGAGGCGGGGACTTGCGGGGCGAGGTGAGGCTGCGGGAGGGTGGGGACCAGTGCGCAGCGCAGAATCTGGTCCTCCCAGAGCCTCCAGGGAGGGAAGGCAGTGCAGGAGCACAGGCGCTGGGAGGTGGCAGGGGTGGCGGAGGGAGCTGTGACTGTCCTCTCCCCTCGCTGCTTCTCTTTCTCAGTAAGAGAGGGGACGATGTCCTGGCGGAGCAGGAGGTGGTGGCGGGCGGATGTTGGGTATCTGAGGACAGGGGGACAGTAGACGTGGGACGCTAGAGGGACGGGAGGATGAGTGGATGAAGGGAAGGCACAGGATTGCCGGGCAGCACTGGGGCCCACAGAGGTTCACGACCTTGAACTCACAACGAGAGCGCTCTAGTGCATGGCACGTGTGTGGTCGCGGGCGTGTGCAGTCGGGGCGTGTGTGGTCTCGGGCATGTGTGTGGCCGGGCGTGTGCAGTCTCGGGCACGTGCGGTCGGGGCGTGTGTGGTCGCGGGCGTGTGTGTGGCCGGGGCGTGTGCAGTCTTGGGCACGTGCGGTCGAGGCGTGTGTGTGGTTGCGGGAGTGGAAGACTTAGCTGGGGCAGAGGTTTTCCCAGGCGAGTGTGAGCGTGAGACAAGAGAGTTGCGGGTGCAGGCAGGTGAGTAATTTTAAGCAATGGCCATGGAATGTGAACCGGGAAAGGAGAGAAATGAGACCTCGGATGTGTGAGGAGCGGGTGGGAGGTGGGCTGGGGCTGGGGCTTGCCGGGGGTGTGCGCTGGTCGTGGGAAAGCGGGCTGCTTGGTGCTGAGATGCAGGAGGGATTGCGGCCATGGGAGTGAGTGGCCAAGGAACTGGGAGGCCAGAGTGTCGGAAGGGTCCTCTCTGTGGCCATGTGGATACTGACGTGGACAAGAATGAAGACAGGAAAAGTCCTGGGAGAGGGCTAGGCGGGAAGTGGGGAGTGGCCTGGGGAGTCCTCCATGGCTAGCAGAAACAGGCAGAGAAGTCCAGGCTGGGAGCTCTAGGGGGAGGGAGGAAGAAGGGTCTGGAAGTTGCAAAAAGGAGCAAGAAAGACACCTCTCCAGCCCCAGGCCAGTGGTGTCAGGGAGAAACAGAAACCACCCCCCACCCCCAGGGAAGGAGGAAGGGAGGCCAGCCACAGTCTCAGGTTTCAGCCCCCCAGGGGAAGGTGAGGAAGGTGAGGAACTGGTGGTATTTCTGGGCATTCTGGGTTCTGTGACAACATTCGCTTGCTAGGAGACCTTCAGCAAGGTACTCAAGGTCTCTATGCCTCACTTTACTCATCTGTAAAATGGGGATGGCAGTGGCTGTTAAGAGGAGTGAGTGACTTAAGATTTCTCAGTCTTGTAGAATGATGCCTAGAAATATAAAATATCTGTAAAACGAAGAGTGGACGTAGAGCTCCAGGGGCAGAGTGGAAGGGTCTCAGGAGCTGGGGAGGGCTGGGAGATGGGGATGGAGAAGGGACCTGGGGTGATGGACTGAAGCGCAGGAGATGGGAGGTGGCCTGGGGGTCTGGGGCTCCGAGGGCATAATGAGATTAGTCCTGGAAAAGGAGGGGGAACAGACACTTCTCACCCGCCTAGCCTCTAGATTAGCGTCTAACAGGACCAGGGAGTCTCTGGCCTTTCTGTTTCCCTGCTTTCTGCTCCTGGTTTTCTTGTCCCTGCCCCAGGTGGCTGATTAACTCATTCGCTAGCATGTGTAGCCAAATGGAAAGCCACAATAGTGTACAATGAATACAGTGCACTTGAGCAGTGAGCCTTCTGCCAGAGCAGCAGAGCAGCAGCAAATGGCATTTCCAGGCTCTCCTGGTGGAAGGAGTGGGCATCAGAGCGATCTCAGGCCATCGGGGGCGGCCGTGCTAAGGAAGCCCGCAGTGCAAGGTGCAGGAAGGCGAACCTGCAGGTGGGGAGCCCTGGGAAGACGTTTCCTACCTGGTCAATTCTCCAGTAAGGGTCCAAGTCAGGCCTGGAGGCTCCGCTCAGCTACAGGGTTGCTGTGAAGGAACAGATGTGGTGGAGAGATCACAAGACTTGGACCCCCTCTGGCAGTATCATCCCTCAGGGCCCCTCTGTCATCTTTATCTCACATGCATGTCCTTTATCGGATGTGTGTTTTACAAATGGCTTCTCACAGTCTGTTGCTTCTCTTTATTTTCTTGATGGCATCTTTTGAAGCACAAAAGTCGTGAACTTTGACAAAGTGACCACCAAGCTTAGATGTGAATGGGGTGCAGGAGTGAGCGCCGTGTGGTGGGTTTGCGTGGGCAGGGGACAACCATACTGGCAAAGCCCCAGAGTGGAGACTGAGCACAGCATTTTGAGGAAGTGAAAATGAGCAGTAGTGGCTAGGGCGTAGGACGGATCACTGGTTCGTTCATTCATTCATTCATTCATTCATTCATTCATTCATTCTTTCAACAAGAATCCTTGAGTATCTACTCTTGCCAGGCCCCGTAGACCCTGGAGGTATAGACATGAGGTCCTCTTCAGGGAGTCAACAGCCTTTGGGATTGGGAGAGAGAATTGCTGTTGGGAAGCCTGGCCCGGGCAGCTGTTCTGCCCGGGAGGAGCCCTAGCTGCAGGGTCCCGGCCTCTGTGGTTGGAGTGGGGGGATTCCATCCAGCAGGTTGGTCAGGCACAGGCCTTCAGCTCAGCCTGGCTGCCCGGCCTGCAGGGCAGGTGAGGGAGGAAAAGAGAGGAGAAGAGATCCTCACCCTCTCCCACCCCACCACCCTCCCCAGCTTTCTCAGGCAACAGGATAGGCAGTACCGAGGGAGGCTGTTGCCTGGAAACCTAGATCAGCACCAAGCCTTTTCTCTGCATCCCTTCACCATCTCCGGACTTTAATCCTTTCTGGAGGGAGACTAACTCTTGGATGTGAAGGAGAGGCAGAAAGCCCCGATTTTGGCTTTTTGAAGACCAAAGCATCGGCACTGGCAAGGATGAAGCTTGCAATCCCAGGGTGCTAAAGGAACAGCCCGCAGGGACACCAACCCACCTAGCCTGGTGCAGGGGGCATCAGGGAACTCGTCTCTTTGGACATCAGTTTTGCAGCAGAGGACAAAGAAGCTATTTGGGGGTAATGGGAAGAATTGGGCTCTCTGAAGCCA